AATGTTCACATCAGCCAGCAATTACTTAAGAGTAAATGAACACGGTGAATATCTTGTTGCTGAAGGTGTCTCTCCAAATGTATTTCAAATAATCTTGGTAAGGTATTTATGTTATAGTATAGTATCATTGTAAGTTTTAAGCAATTATTTTCAGATATTAAATGCTAAAATTAATCTTATTTATTTAGGAATACTACAAAAATGGCAAAATGGTTTGTCCATCAACAGTTCATGTTTCAGAATTAAGAGAAGCGTGTGACTATCTTCTTGTTCCATTCAGCCATGAATCTCTTTCATGTCAAAATTTAAGTATGCTAACATATTTTTATTGAAAATTATCATTGGTATTTAAAATGCGATTACATTTAAATTTACCCAAATGGTTATAATTTGTTAAAATCATTTGGAGGAAGTTTATGTTATAACGAGTATATTCGATTTGTTACACCATAAAAAAATTTTATGGTGTAACAAAAAAACTTATAATTTAATTCAATAGTTTTCAGAATTTTTTTTGAGTAATCACTAAAAAATAATAAAAGTGTTGAGGCAACCTTTTTTAACTTTTTAAATTGTTTAGAGGATGAATTCACAAGTTTTTAGTTGTTGTCAGTCATTTGTTGTTAGTCTTTTGCTGTTAGTCATTTGTTGTTATTCTTTTGTTGTTAGTCTTTTTTAGACTTAAATAATTGCTATAAAAATTATTTTAAAAATAAATCATAAAAATTTTGGAAAATCATTTTGGAAGAGTACTATTCTAAAATTTCTTGCTAAAAAAAAATTTCCTTAATTTTAAATGTTTTTCAATGATAACTAAAGGTGATTTACAAAATATTTATATATTTTACCTGTAGTCTTTGTTACTTTAAAAATTTTAGGTGAGTTACTGCATGAACTTTCAAATGATGGTGCAAGAGTTGAGTTTACCAGTCTTTACATCGAAGGTTATATATTACCCAAGATGATTGAGAGTGCTAAGGTATTCATTAAATTTGTAAAAACTGCAAATATATTTTAATGTGAGCTAATGTTTAAAATACTTTTTCTTTTGTTTCAGCTTGTTTGCAATGTATTTTCTAATTTTAGAAAGGTAACAGGGAATGCCACTTAGTTGTGCTTAAAGATGACGACACAATTGAATGGGGAGAGTTTCCTCCAAGCACTGGAGAAGAGTTTGCTGAAAGTAACTGGATATTTTTTTAAGCATGATATATTCGTTCATGAAATATAGTGTCTCTAAGAAAACATTTAGTAATAAAAAATTGATTAAACAAAGTTTAAACATTTTTAAATTTTTATAAAAGAGTTTACAATGGAAATAAATTGTTGGGACCATATGTAAATGTACCAAGTATTTATGATATTAAAATGCTTTGTATTTTAAAAATTTTTTTTCTTTTTCCTTTATTTTAGTTATCTATAGTTCTAAGTTGTATCATTTTTTTAAATACTTTGAAAACCGAGATGTTGCAAAAGAGGTATTAAAAGAAAGAGGTTTAAAAAAAGTAAAATTGGGTATTGAAGGTTACCCAACGCATATGGAGAAAGTCAAATACAAACAACATGGAAAACCTGATGGTATGCTTGAATATTATTATTTAATAAACATCGAGCTTATGAAACATATTAGTTAAATAGTAGTGCAATTTTATTTTTATTTATATGTTTTGTATTTTTATTTATATGTTTTGTATTTTTATTTATATGTTTTGTATGTTTATTTATATGTTTTGTATTTTTTTTTATATATTTTGTATTTTTATTAATATGTTTTGTATTTTAGTTGTGTATAGTTATATACAGCGACCCTTTGTGCACATGTCTTGGGAGAAAGAAGGAAGTAAGAGTCGACATGTAGATTTTCAGTGTGTGAAGCCTAAATATAATTCAGTTGGACCCAATCCAGATGAAATAGTTCCTTTTGGTGCTGCTGTTATAGATATTGATATCCCAACTGCTCTCTTGACAGATCAAGGAGACTAAATTTATGGGTCGAATTAGTTTTGAAGAAAGAAGAATCTTATTCGAAATGGCGTGATCCTCAGCGGCTTTCGGTCATTCAAATACGTTAATTGTGTGGTTGAGAATAAAAAAGTTGATTGTTATATCATTTTAAATTTGTTAGCTCTAAACACAAAAATTGTTGTTAAATTCAAGCATGAGTTTTATCGGTTTTTTTATTGGTTTATATATGATATTAACATTTGTTTATAATATATATATTTGTTATTTTTTTTATAACCTCTACTTTAGAATATTGTATTTTTAGTTATTCAAACAATCTTCTTATTCGAATTTTAATATACAATATACTAAATATTGTAATTGTTTATGAAAAATTACTATTTAATTTAATAAACATCGAACTTTTCTAATTGTAGCTTATTTTTGGACTTAAAGACATAAATTACGATTAATGATAATATAATGGGTTTTTTTCACGTATACCATAAAGAATAGTTCCTATAAGTTGACAATATTTGCCCCTAATTATAATTAGGGGCAAATATAGTCAACTTGCGGATATACCAGTAGTGTAAAGACAGGTTCCCTACCGCAATGGTGCTAATAGTGCCAAATAATCATTGATTTTTTATTTCTTTTTTTTTGTTGAGCAGAAATACGTTGGTGGGGAGGGGGGTATAATTTCTAAGCTATGGGTAATTCATGCATGTTTAAACCTTGACTTAGTCACTGTTCGTTAGAGCGCGTTCGTTCTCTTGTTTTTTTCTTTGTATTTGCCTTTTCAATCAAGTATTTTGTTATGGTAATATGACACTAATATAATCAAATAAAATTTTTTTTCAAATTTAATTTGGTCATTGATTATTGTTTTTTTATTACATAAAGACATTCTTTAATGTAATCGCTGATTTTTAATTTTTATAATTTTTTTTTTTTTAATTTGTCGTTACAAATAATTACTTTCCTTTTGTAAAGTATACAAATGGCAGGGGCAAGAAGAAGACAATTAAAATAGTCTTATTGCCAAGTAACAAAATATCCGTACATAATAAAGTCATTAAAAACTTGCTATTAAAAATCGATGATCATTTTTTCCATTAAAAATCGATGATCAAGTTTGAGTTAGTAATAGTAGTTATAGTAGTAATAGTAGTAATATTTATTGCTGTAACAATTACAAATTTGTTTAAATATAAATATTTAAAAATAAAATAAATTGTGGAACGCGATGGAAGCATCGGGTTATAGACAGCCCACACAAATTAAAAAACACAAGTTATGAAAAATGTTTATCTATTCACGCTTTGAAAACATCCAACGATGTTGCTTCAATGATTTCATTTGGTAACAAATTCCAATTTTTACAAACTCGATTGGTAAAGAAATTACATCTCGGTAAACATGATGGTACGTATTCTCTTTCTAGCCTGTATTTATTGCCCTTTACAGAAAAAGCCGGGCCTGAACTAGTCACGGATGATGCCGGTTTTGGATTTTTGTACCAATTTATTTGGTCTATATTTTGCTTGAATCTGTATTGTTGTATAAGATCTCCTCTAGCTCGTCTTTTCTCTAATGTTGTTAAACCCAATTAATATGTAAGTAGCGGAAATACCAAATTCTCCTGTTTTAGTAGGGGAGAGCGGGGTTGGTTGTCACACGGGTTGGTTGTCACAAAGTTTATAACAGGAAATGTAAATAAGATATAGAAATTTCAAATTATGCAATGGAAATGTTATATAAAAAAAACATTTTTTACAGTAATTTTTATCTTTTTTTAGCGTGCAGAAAAAAAGTTATTCGTTTTTAAAGGTTTTTGATATGAAAAAGTAAAATTTCGCCTACTCAGAAATTTTCTTTTACCAAACGAAAATTATTTTATTGTGTTATGAATGTAGATTTATAAAGTACTTTATTCATTTGAGTAACTTAATCCGTAAAAAATTATCATAAAATTCTCACGCTTTTAGGTAAATGTACAGGTGTCCAGCAACTTACTCAGAAGGGGTTGCTTGTCACAAAATATATGGGGATGGTTGTCACACTTGCCTCGACTCCATGCGCTGCAAATTAAACGCCGCTTGCAGATTTTTTATTGGCTTTGTTTATTTTCCGCATTATTGAGGAATATTTTATTGTTTAAGATATTATTTAAAAATCTAAAGTCAAAGTGTTATATTTGTTTAACTAAATATCTGTAATCTAAATTATTTTTATTTCAACGTACATAACTTTAGATTCCGATCCAATGTTTAGTATAATTATAGAAAAAGGATTGCAGAAGTTCAACTGTTTATTGTTTTGTTTACAAACTAAACAACTAGCTGTTGTTTAGTTTGTAAAACTGTCTCTTGTTTTGTTTGTGCATTGTTTATATTTAGTGCATCTATTGTTTTGAAACATTTTCCAACAGCCGATCAAGAGAACAGTGGATTCAATGTCAGGTTTGCCAAAAAAGGTTTTGCCGGGCTCATGAAGAATGCACACCAGGCTTACAACAGTTTATTTGTGAATTGTGTTCTTTATCCAATAATTTTTAAAAAACCAAACCTAAAAACATTTATAGTGAAAAACTAAGTTTGTTAATTGTGTTATATTTAAAATATATATATTTCAGTTTGTAGTATTTTATTTTTATTTTTCTTAGTAAAACATAAACGAAATTAATTTGTACTCGTTTCACATTAAATTCTTATCTAAACTTGTCAAAATCCAAATGTGACAATCAACCCCGCACCATGTGACAACCTACCCCGTGAGCGGGGCTAGTTGTCACACAGAAGTGGTCTTTGAAAAATGATTTTACAGCAATAAATATTTCACTCAATGTCATAAAAATATTATAATAGTTACTGGAAATAGTTAAACTAGCTTTGTGCAAAGTTTGGCATTGATTGGATGAAAATTAAAAGCTGAGCAGCCTAAAATGTAAAAAGTGTGACAACCAACCCCGCTCTCCCCTATGTTATTTTAGAAAAAGAGAAATCTTTTTCTAAAATAACATACTAAAACAGAAGAAATATTGCATAAATAACAGAAATTTTGAATAATTTTATTTTTTTAACATAAATATAATGGTTAAATTTTTTTTTTTTACATTGCTTTTGACGTGATATAATACCATGCATTACTTGTATTTAAATCAATTTAAAATTAAATCTTGTATTTTGTTTAATTTATATTTTTATGGATATAAAAATATATATTAAACAAAAAAAAAAAGCTTATTCATGTGACCAGCGTTATCACTCAGGTTTTTAAGAAATCCCCAGATTCCCCCTCCCAAAAACCACAGAAATACCCAGATTATGTAAACAGATTATGTAAAACTTTATTAAGTTTACCCAAATTATGTAAAACTTTATTAAGTAATGTTTAGAACTTGAATTTTTGAATTAAAATTCGAATATCAAACTTCAAATATTCTTTAACTATTGATTAAAACCGACAATCAAATATAAATCTTAATTTTATCAATCAAAACCCCCAAAAAACAAAATAAGCCCAGATTTGGCAATATTTTGCAAAAAAAAACAACACAGAAACCTAGACAGGGGTAAAAAAATCTAGATCTAGTGAAAAAAAGCCAGATGTGGCAACACTACATGTGACATTTTTCAGGTAAAAGTAAACTACTTTTTGATGTAATCTTCTTTTACATAACTTACTTTTGAAAGTAAAAAAACTTACATTATAAAGCCAAAGTCGTTTCAAAAATATTAATTACTTATACGGAAATGTACTTTAAACGTTAAAAATTACTAATGTAATTTACTTTTTAATAAAAAATAACTTACTCATGTAAGTAAAAAAAAAGTAACTAAAAGCCACTACTTAAGAGACTTTTTTAACTCAAATTTTTATTAAGATATTTAATTAAAAATATTTTGAATTTATAAACTTTTTTATATATTTATAGTTGAAATTTTAAACTAAATCAGTTTTCAAAAAACGTAAATATAGAATTTTCGTCTTCATCTCCAAAAATTTTAAAATAATTCATTGATTTTTATAAGGTTCTTTAGAAAACAATTATTCATGTTTAAAAAAGCTTTCACCAGTTATTTTTTGAAACTTATTTTTGAAATTAGTTATTATAGCATCACCCTATAACTATTAAGAAGATATTAGTTTACCTTAAAAATGTATTAAATTAAATTTTGTTTGTCCAATTTAAAATTTATGGGTTCTTACAATACTATAAGTCATATTTACTCTACTCCAATCTTCATTAGTCTTATTCTGGTACTTTATGAGCAATGCATTCTTCCAGTCTCATTGTTTTCATTGCCTTAGTTGAACATGGTTTTTTGGTTTGACGACGATCCATTCAATTCTCTTCAACCAACCGTCTCTAGACCATCCTTTTGGATGCTTTGATTCCTTCATTGTTTATTATCTCGCACTACATTATCAAGTAGTTATGTAATTTTTAAGACAGATGTCCCTGATTTTTCCGTCACAACGTAAAGTAGTAATTATTTTTCAGGCTTTTTTGCTACTAGCTGCTTAAAGAGGCACATTTGCATAAATTTTTCTTTTATTTTGGTTTACTACTGACTTTAAATCACTTAAAATTTTTGCTACCTTTATCTGAGAATGTGTAGACCGAAAGAAGGTGACTTTCAAGCTATAGTTGGCTTTTTTTTACGCATTTAGCCGGCCAGTCGGGCATTTGACACTTTTTAGTCGGCTATATTTAACTTTTGAGGATTTTTTTTACAAAGCCAGCCGGTACTTTTTAAGGATTCACCCCCCTCATTTTGTTTGTAGAATCGCCTCTGTGTGTAGAATGAAGAAGTAAGGTTTGTACTTTCCCAAATTTTCTTCAGGTTAAATTTGTAGACTTGCTTATACTAAAAACAAAATAGAAGCTAGAATAGTTAAGAATTAACCTTATTTTCAAACTATTTATTCTTTTCTTGAATACAAAATGTTAAAAATTCATTATTTGCTTAACGATTTTTAGAGTGTTTAAATACAATTTTCCTACTGTCACTTCTTAACCCGAATTATATTAGAGAATATAATTTGGGTCAAGAAGTACTTGGTTTATTGCCTTTGTTTTTTTCTGGATTCTTTTTTGTCTTTTTGAAATTTTCTAAAAAAAATTCACGAGGAGCATTTGGTCCTGACAAACTTGTATTTTGTTTTTTTAATGGTAAATAAGGAAGGAATACTGAACCAAAAAACTTCTCTTCGTTATTTTTAATAACCATTACCTTTATTAGATTTTTTTTCCTCAAGAATTAAATACTTGCATTCTATCTTTTTTAAAATAAAAAAGGAATAAGTAATATAGAAACTGTCCTTAAAACTGGGCCAAGTCAGTAAACAAGTTTATATGGAATAAACTTCTATTATCTTAATTAGATTCTGGTTGAAATGAGTTAGATCTCAGCGATCCAGACGAGCCCGTTTCCCATGTTATTAAATTTAATATCTATTTATAACAAAATTATAATTGGAAACCCTCTCAAGTTGAAAGGGGTTTAAACTCTATAATTTCATAAATATTATAACGCTAAAATATTTTACTATGAAATTTAAAATTTATCAATGAATATAAGTTAAGTTAAGAATCGCACAAAAAACATTTCTTCACCTTGTTTCTTAAAGACCAAAAAATGCTGGATCCGCCTCTGCTTGGACATAAACTTGTAATAATAAATAAAAAAATAAATAAATGTGTCAAGCGGACTGTTTTAGTTCAATTATTTGAGAATTAAATTAAAAAATGTCCTCGCAGCTATTCGGGCCAAGCCAGCCCGATTCATAGTACCAAGTATCGGAACGGAACTCGTGGTTACATACTTTTCGCATGGGATTTTATTAATTCCCCATAAAAAAAATAATAATTCTGAGATTTTAACTAATTTTTAATTAGACTTTAATTGATTTTTATTTAATTTAATTTAATTTTTATTAATAATTAAAGCTGCATTTTAAATTTCAAGTGTATACAGTTTTTGTTCTATTGCGTTGGCTGTTTTTATAATTAATTTTATCTTTTTTTATAGATTAACTAATTATATTTTATGATATTTGTTTTTTGATAAAAATTTATTTCATATCTTTATTTATATAACTTAATTAAATATAAATGATAATTAAATATAAATATAAAAAAAGTTCTTACCCTACTTTATAAAGTAATACCCAAGATTTTTTAATGTCAACTATGACTTGTTCGACAGTCAAAAAGTCAAATAAAAAACCACCAAAAAGTCTTTTGTAATGTAAAAATTTCATATTATTAACTAAAAATGATCTAGATTTTAGACAATTTTACTCATTATGTACACAAATTTAGACGTTTAAATTGAAGCAGTTAAGTGCTGGATGACTTTAAACGAATGTCCATGTTAGCTTTGAATCAAAGCTAACATGTCAATAATCAAATTAAAAAATACCAATCAAAGTTTGATTGGTATTTTTTAATTTGATCCACTGTTGATGGTAACAATAGTTGATATGTAGCACAAACAATCAACATTAAATGAGTCTATATATATACATTTTTTCGCATTTACAATTACTCTACATGCTTTTATTATATAATAAAAGTAATTTAATACATTACAGTACCTAAGTAAATAAGTAAAATATTAGAAGTTTTAAAGAAGTTTTATCTTTTACAAGCAAAGAGAAAGTTGTGTTTGAGCTAAATTTAATGTTTATATATATATATATATATATATATATATATATATATATATATATATATATATATATATATATATATATATATATATATATATATATATATATATATATATATATATATATATGTGTGTGTGTATATATATATATATGTATATATATATATATATATATATATATATATATATATATATATATATATATATATATATATATATATATATATATATATATATATATATATATAATATATATTGAACAATATATCCTAGCCCTAGCTAATAACTCCTGCTAATGTTATTGTTTAGCATGTTGTTTGTTTAGTTAAAGTTCTAAAATACTTCATATTTAGCTCATGTTTACAAAAATGGGGACTTCATTTAGTGTGTAATATAAACCTATGAAAAATGTAAATTTTAATGTAACAGTAAATGTTTGGTTATAATTTACTATATAATAATTTACTTTTTAAAACTCATTCTTAATTGTTTACACCCAAAAATCAAATTAAGTTATATTTTTACTTTATTAAAATTGCTATATTAAAAGCTTTTTAAATTTTTATTTTATTTTTATTGTCTATATAGGTTGTACTCTACAATATAAGCCAGGCTAAATGCAGTCCCCAAAATATGTTGACTTTTCTAATTCAAAATGATAGATCTCCAAGTGCATATATTTTGGTTTTGTTGTGGAGGTTCACATATTTGCAGAATGATTTACACTTGTTATTTATAACTATTCTCTCTATTATATATTTGTCGTTTATAACTTTGTGTTATAATATAGTAATGAAAGAAAATCTTTTAGACTTTCTTTGTTATTGTTTATGTTAAGAAACCTTTTTTTAACATTAAAAAAAGATATTTTTAAATAATAATGTTGACATGTGGGACATGGGTTAAAAGAGGAGTTGCTAAGGAAGTACCTGACAAGGTATATTATACAATAATTATTGCAATTACAAAAAACCTAATTTTCTTTATATTAATATTTTGTTTCGAATGCAGGTAGAAATTAGCGCTGATGAACTTAAAGAACTTCTACAAGAAACAAAGGAGCAAATAAAGTATGTTGCCACATATGTTTATTATACGTTTAATTTTTTGTAAATACAGTTTGTTGAATGTAGTCAGTTTATAGTTACAAGGAATGTCAAATTTTAAACAAGTCATTTTTTATAGTCAAGTTCTTTTCTTTTAGTTCAATACTTTTAGCTTTTTTTAATTCTTGAAACTCTGAACTAATATATTATTCTAGTACCACTCATTATACCTTTAAAATGGCTCAGATTCATATAATTTATTTTAGTTTATGATCTGTATAATGTTCTTCAAACAATAAATATATTATTGTTTAAAGAGCTTTATTTTTTTTTGTGAGTAGCAAGGGGTCATATTTTTTATTTGACTTAATTGAAACTTTGTAAAATACTTAAAACATTTTAAAATTGTAAACAAGTTTAAACTGAAAGAATAGTTTTTACTTTTGAAAATGAAGAGTTCAGGGAAAAAAATGTTTCACAATATATTAGTACAAGATACTTAATTTTTAAGTTTCAAAACTGTTTTTAATAATATTTGATTACAAAGTGACCTTTCTCAAAATAATTCATCAATAATATCTATTTTATTAAAGTAATTTCAATAAATATTTATAGCACAGCCTTCTGAATTAAGGCCAAGATTCAGCAAATGAGTTTTTTTTGTAGACCTTGTTTATTATGCTGTTATGGTTCAATTTGGACTTGTTTATATGTTGTTATGGTTCAATATGGACCCATTCAACAATGTTTTTGACCCAATATTGACTCATACAACAATCTTTTCGACTCAATATTGACCCATTCAACAATGTCCGAATCCACCTTTTAAAATTTTAGATTTCAAGGTAATCTAAAAAAAAAAAATTAGCAATGAAAAATCCAATGCACTGTGCAAAAAGTATATATTTGTAACTGAAACTAAAATTAATTTCTCAATTAATTAAAAAAAAACAATCTAAAATTAGTTGAGTAACTTTTTAGTTTGACTGAAGTTAGTTTACCAACTCTTTATTTCAGCTAAAATTAGTTGACTATCTTTGACTGACTTTTTTTAGTTAGACTAAAATTAGTTGACTTTTTAGTTTGACAAAGAATCCTGGTTGGCAAAAATCTGGATATTTAAAAAAAAAACCCAGCCCAGTAGGATTTAAAAAAAAATTCTTTATGTATTGATTTATTTTAGATTTAAAAATAATATTTTTAATGATTAAAAATGCCAACAGGAAGAAAGCAGGCTAGAAAATCAGAGGAATTAACTGAAGTTGAAAGCAATACCAAGATTTCTTGTGACTGTCATGGTTTGCTAAGCAAATAGATAAAACAAGTAAAGCCCCATATAAAACATTGCCAAAATAAGTTTGAATTTTTACACAGAGATACAGAAGATGACAATCTCTATCTGTCAAAATATTTGAATAAAAGATTTAATATCAGGGTTCGAATTAAGCGTATTGCGATTGCTTTTTACACCTTCGCGATTAGCTTTTTCTTAAAACATATTTTCGCAATTGGTTTACTTTTTCAGCTGTTAATTTATAAGAGCGTGTAAATACTCATCAAAACTTTCTCCTGGCTGTTGCTTACGAGTTGCCAAGAGGTGTCGTGCATAAACCTCATTTGATGGTTTGATGTACACAGATTGTAAAGCTTGTATTGCTGCTTCATAATTTGGACATTCACTTATTAATTCATAAACATCGGGCACAATGAAATTAGTCAGGATTTTTAACTTATTGAGTTCTTGAGGGAGTTCATCAAGATAATATTTAAATGTTCTGAGCCAATGTTTAAATAATTTTGTTGCCGAAGGTGAGTTTGGTAATGTATCCAAGCGAGTAGGTCTTGAGCTCTATCCATATTTTATTTTGATAAGAGTAGAAAATTGAAACACTTGTATAAAGAACAACAATATTATAATTCTTATAAGTTATTCTACTCTAAAGTAAACAAAGTAAATAATCAAAACACAACATTACTATTTTTCTAATTTAGCTTTTTTTTTTGGCAATTCTTAAAAGTAATGTTTTCATAGTAAAGTACGTCACGCAAAGTTTGTCTTTTGAATAGAAGCATGATCATTTGCTTTTTTGCACCGAGATTTTTATTCAACGTAAAGCATTTTTAAATTTAAATTACTTAAATCTCTGCGTAGAAGCAAGTTAAAAAGACAAAAGTTAAAAAGAATTTTTTCTTCATTCTATTTTTTTTTAACAAAACTGCATTTTTATCTTTTTTTAAAAAAAATATTGCTCCAAATTAACTTATTAATAATGATTTAAATTATTATTTTATAAACAATTTTATATAATTATTTTTACTATTTTAAGTATAATAAAATATATATTAATTCGTTTTTATTAAATAAATATTCTAATAATAAAATTATGCTAATAGAAACCAGCAACTTTTTTGCTTTAACGACCTTGAAACTATTGAATTAGCCAGAACTGCTTTTATGTGGTCTTCTTCTATTTATGTTTGTTACCATTATAAGTCCAGCTAAAAAAGAATCTTGCATTTCTTTGCATGCTATTGAATGAATAGGTTTATTAAATATTGCTTAACAATTGACAAATACACAAATGTTTAGTACAAATATACCAAAAAAGGGTCAAGTTTTTTTTTAATATAAAATAAGCGAACGTCAAGTTTAGTCAAAGGTTGGCGCTCTTTACTCAAAGGTTGATGTTTGCTTCACTTAAAAATTTAAAAACTGTTTTTTTAATTGGGAGGAATACTTTTTTGTTTTTCTATCAAATTTTTAATTCTTAAAATTTGATTTATTTTAAAAATGAATATTTAAGCTTTTAATAGAAATTATATATAAACTATTATTTTTTCAAAGTAATTTTCACAATATTACACATAAATATTTTTTTGTTAGTTTTGTTTTTTAATTATTTTGTTTAGAGTTTAAATAAAACATTTTTTTTTTTTTTTTGTTTTTATTTTTTATTTTTTTTGTTTTGTTTATAATTTAAATAGAATGTAAGTTTAGCCATTTTAACTTTAATTATTTTATTTTGAATTAAAATAAAATGTTTGTTTAGCCTCTTTTTTAAAAAATTGAATTAGAAAAGTAAATTGGATTTAAAAAATTGCCCAAGCCATTCTAAAAATGCTTGTGGTAAGTTATGAATGTAGACTGGAATCCCAATGAATTGTTTAAAAAACTAAAATAACTAGATAAAGATGGCTGATTGTGATAACCTTATTAAAGTTACTAAAAAATTGAAAAAATTAAAGGAAGGTCATCACAAATTCAGAAAAAACTTCTGTATTTTCTGAATTTGCTTCGATATATTAAAAAAAAAGGCTATTAGAAATTCATTCGTACATTAAGACTGGAGACCAAACTACCAATCAACAATCAGCGGTTGTCTACTTTGGGAAAAAGTTATGATTTCCCGATATAAATCATGGCTGATTAAATTTTATTGGTAAGAAATGCGAGGCAACTTAATAAAAAATTAAAATACCTTTAAAAAATTAAAATACCTTTAAAAAATTAAAATACCTTCTGAAATTTCATTATTTTTTTCAAGTCCAAATAATAAATAATGTGAGCTTTTGATCGATGGGAAAAACATTTCTAACAATTAAAACAATTTAATTTTGCTAGAATTATTATAAAAATCTCATAATGCAGAAGCAGATAAGTTGCTTAACCCAGGAATAGATCATTATTTTATCAGCAAATTTATGACTCTTTTATGTTAAGACAGCAAATATTATTTTGGTTTGCAAGTACAATTTAAATATGCTTACAGTACATTTGATATGCATATACATATGTTATTACACACATATTATTAAAACAAGATTAACGTATTTTTTGTGCACATATCTGATGCAGTGTTTGAACATGTTTTCAAGGAAATTATTTTAAAAAACACCATTTTTATACTTCAAAATTCTTTTAAAAAAACTAACCTTTAAATAAGATTTTTAAACAAACAAATGTTGTGTCTAGTTGTGCGCTGCTATATACTACTGCTATATACTACTGCTATATACTACTGCTATATATACGCTGCTATATACTACTTCAATATATAGAATAATAAATAAACAAATTACCATAAGTTAAAGACAATTTACCTTTTCAAATTTACAAAAAGTGTCAACTATCTTTTATTTGAATTTAACTTTATATTCATATTTAAGTTTTCAGTAACAATTAAGATCTTAGGGTTGTTTTTTAATAGAAATCAGTAACCTGTATAATTTTTTTATAGAGTAAAAAAATTAAAAAAAATAAAAATATTGTATCATGTATTAAATTGCAAAACCAATAATAATAATATATAAATATAAAGTGCAATTTAAAAATAAATATTTATAAATAAATAAAAAGTATAATTGTATTAAAAGTTATAAGATTATAATTTCTAATTTTACTTTTTATTTATGCAAATTAGGAGTTATTATATACAACATTTACAGGCTATAGATAAATACATCAAGCCTTTTCAGGAAAGATATGTCTTTTATATGACCACATATACATTTTTTTGGCAACTTGGCCATAGTTTTTTGCATATATTGATAATTTGCGTGTTTAAAAAAATGCGCTGAAAAAACCAAAATAATTTAAAATCAAAACTAAAAATAAGCAAACCATAAACTGAAAAGAGAAACCAACTTAACAAATAATAAAATATATAAAGGATAAACCAGGAAAAATAAAATCATAAAATTAATTTATTTTTTAATTTAAAAGACTCTCAATTAATAAATCAAACTTAATTTAAAAACATTCCAATTAATAGTTTATATATTATAATTTTTCCTTTATTGCCACGTTGTTGTACCGCCTAGGTTGATTAATTGCAACATTTATGAGGCGACTAACATATTGGTATTTGGAGTTCTAATCCTACTAACAGAATTTTTTTTAAATATTTTATTTGCTTCGTAGACATTAGGAAATATTAAAGTTTCAAATTTTTAAATAAGTATTATTACAACTCATTATTCAACTTAATGTCATTCTCATTACTCATTATTCAACTAGATGTCCTACCCAAATACTCATTATTCTATGAATTATTTAACTCCTACTCATTATTCAACTCCTACTCATTCCCATTCATACTCATTCCTACTCATACTCATTCACATTTATACTCATTCCCACTCATATTCATTCCTACTTAACTCATTATTCAACTCCTACTCATTAATTAACTAGATATCATTACCAAAAATTAATATCACGTAACAACTACATCAATGATATAAGGAGTTTTTCTGTGAAAGAGTTACTAAGATATGGAATTCTTCACCTGATTATTTGGGGTATTCCTCTTCATTGTCTCTATTTAAATCGAATTTAAAAATATACAATATTCAGAGACACTGTTTACTGTTTTAAACTTGGTGTTACATAAGAGTAATTCTCCAATTACCTGTATCACCTTTTTGTATTTTTATTTAAATGCAAATAAATTAAAATAATAAAAAAAAAAAGTTTCAAAGTGAGCTTGGATTGAATAACTTTCAAACTTCGATTTTTTCTAATTTCTTAGAGTGAAACATTTTTAAATTAAAATAAAAATATTAATTTTATGCTTTTATTTTTCCTAGTTTATCTTTTATTCGTTTTATCATTTGTTAAGATTTTTATTTTTCAAATTTATTTTTGTATTTGTTTTTTAGTTTTTATTTCTCTTTCCGGTTATAGTTTGTTTATTTTTATTTTAGTTTAAGTTTACATCTGTTTATTTTTTAAACATGCAATCTTAAAGCCAAGTTGTCAAAACAAAATACTGTGTGCGTAGTCATATAAAGTATTCAGTCGCACATTTTTCTTGAGAAGGCTTGATACAAATATGATTTTATTTTTAAAACTATTTTTGAAAATACACTGTAAATTTAAATGCAAATTAAAATAGATTTAAATATCACAGCATATTATAACTACAAATAACTTTTTTGCATTTAATAATTTTAAATTAATTGACACAATTTTGGATTATTTTTAGTGATCTTGGAGAAAATGTTGAAGATCTTGATGAAATGCAAGAGAAAATTATTTCAGGAAAAGAAGATCCTGTTTATGATGATAGTGATGAAGAAATAAAAGCAGAATATGGTTTAGATGACTATGATGAAGAAGGTGAAATTAAAAAAGTTATATATCTCCATTAAAATCAAGTTATATATCTCCATTAAAATCAAAAAAGTTATATATCTCCATTAAAATCATGCTTTGTGCATCATCTTATATTGCCTATTTTTCAAGCAATTTTTTTTTTTAATAAGCAGATCTGCTTAATTATATTTTCTTGAGTAGATCTACTTATTTTATCTATATTTTTTTATCTTTTTTTTTTGCTGTTGCTACAACTACCTCTTTTAGAAAATTAGCCAGTAATGTGCTGCCCTCAAAGACCTTGAGCCATTTATCTTAAAAGGACCATTTGGAAATAAATTATTTTGTTATTATGTTCTGGAATCGATCAATTATTATTTACTTTTTCAATGTTTTGCAAATTAATTTTTTTACTGTCTGATTTAAAGTGTTAAATTTTGTGCAGTTTTATATTAGTATTTTGCATAACATAACATAACCCAATGTTTCACAGGAAGATGTGTGATCGCACGTCTTCCTGTAAAACTTATCTTTAAAGAAAACTTTACTTTAAAAAAGAAAAAAAAATCATTTCGCAAGAGAAAATTAAAAAAAACCTTTCTAATTCAAAACTCAACAAACTAAAATGCTTAGTTTATTTAAATCATGTTTTTTATTACATTTGAAATAATTTTTTATTTTTATTTTTATCTATATAATATTATCAGAAACCCCTAAAATAAGAAGAACAGTTTACTTTTCATGATTGTTTAAAAAATACTGACACTTAATTAAAATTATAGTGTTTTTTTTACTAATTTAAAAATATCAACTTCAATGTAAATGTAAACTAGTTAATAATTACGCATTAAAAAAACCATTTCATTCTTTGTTTTAACATTTGTACTTTGTTTTTTTTTAATTTGTTTTAAAATATTAACATTTATCACAAAAAATACATAATTATACAAATAAAAAAAAAAACACAACAGTTTATTAATATTTAACATAAAAATTCATTAGTAGTGTTTTGTTACTTCATTAAAAAGTGTTTCTATAATATAAAAGCATTAAAGATCAAACTTATTTAATTGTAGCAGCTTTCAAAAACATTTGTCTTATTTTCGATGAAACTTTTTTTATATTTTTAAATGTATTAACTTCAATCATTCTTATGTTCCACAATTTGTTAAAGAGACTTTCATTGTCTTAGAAAGTCATTGTTTATAAAGACAAAATTTTTTATTTTTTTATTATGTTTATTATAAAAATTGCATACTTAAATAATTTATATGATATAAATTTAAAAAATTAAATACAACTGTCAATATTACTTTTAAAAAAATCATTATTAGTAAATTGTTACTTTATTTAGTTTCTATTAACCAGGAAAACTTTTTTATATTAGCGTTTTGCTAAAATATAAAAAAGTTTGTTAAGAAGTTTTGATGTAATTTATTTCACCTAAGGTATAATTCAAAATATTTTTATTCAGCACCTTTTTGAAATGTATTTTGAAATAGCTGCAGTCAAATCATCAAAGCAAATGTGATTTGTCTGGTCATATAATGACGTGTGATTGCATGTCTTCTTGTGAAACACTGTAGCCATTATTTGACATTGTCTTCAAAAAAAAAAAAAAAATTGAAAAAAGTATTTATTAATACATCACAAAAATTGCTATTAACAATTGTAATAATTTAAAGAAATTGCATCAAGGGTTGATTTAACTAGTGAGTGAGGTCAGAGTGAAATTCACAATCTAATTAAAAGAAATTTCCTCTTTTGTCTGAAAAATTGATAGTTGTTTTGAGATGTAAAAATTTCCTCCTGCTAATTTAATCATTAGCAATATTTAAAAAAAAAAAATTACTCATAATAAATATAGTTTTTTTCAATTAAAATATTTTATCCTTACAACTATTCAGTTTTAAATTCAATTAATGTTTGTGTAGCCAACCACCAGATTATTTAATTGCTAATAATTGTGGTGTTAATACCTTACATTAAATTATAATTTTACCATCAAAATTTTGTTATGAGGTTAAAATATTTGGAAAATGACATTATTTATTAAAGAAAAATCAAATTTTATCTTTATTTTAAAATAAAATTAAGTTGTTTGAATAGTTTAAGTTACAGTTCTCCTAAACAAAAGAAATTGTTATCAGACTAATAAAAGTTTTGTTTTTATAATCGCAATTCTGATTTACCGAGCTGTAATAATTAAAAAACTATTTTCAAAGCATGAAAATTACTTTTTAGGAATGAAAAAAGGCAGGATAGTCTAATTCATGATTTTGAATGTTATGTAAATGCCTGGTTATCTATTGTTTAGTTAAGGTTATAAAAATATTTTTCAACACAAAATGTTGTTTTAATAATTAATTGTAGCACAATAAAAACTATCAATTGATTTTTTTACATTCTCAAAAAATATCTATTGATTTTTCTTTGTTCTCCTAATAATTCAACCTTCATTTGGAATCTATCACAATTACTTGTGATAGATTCAATAGCAGTTAACTACATATAGTGTAAATTAATTAGCAACTTAGCTAATTTATTTACACTATATGTAGTTAACTGCTGTTTTATAATGGTATATAACTACATGTTGTCTTAGAAAGAAGTGTTTATATATTTACAGGCCTTCAAATCAAGCATTATTTTATCAATTTGTTATCAAATACAAGTCATCAATTATTATTAATTAAAAATAGTAAATTAATGACTCTATTGTATATGGTAAGAATATATATGAGAAAATCATGCATAATAAGGCCTTATTAGAAAAATCCTGTGTTGGCTTTTTGGAGCCAGCACACTGGTAATTCAGGCTTGGTCGGGAAGCGGAAGCGATCGCTCTCGATTGCTGACCACAAATATTATTTAGTTGCGAAAAGCTGGCCAGATTTTTTAGTTGTTTCGAGAACATTTCAAAAAGCAAAAAAAAAAATGCGCTAAAGATTAATTGGACCGATGAGAACCAATTACAAAAAAAAATTAAAAAAATAAAATATCTTTTAAAGCGAAAAAACTTAAAGCAAAATAAATTACATTTAGAGCAAATATTTTGGAAACATGGCTCTTTTATAATTTTTTTATAAAATTAAGCGACGGTTTTTATATAAAGTAACATCTTACGATTGTTTAAAAAGGAAACAAATGCTCTTTATTTAACAAAGTTTGCAAGTTTTAGTTTTGTCTAAGCTAAATTATTTTATAAATAAAAAAGTTAATTTTTTTAATACGTATGTTTCGCGTAGTTTGAAAAGTTTAAAATATTTGAAACAATTCTTCTTAGTAAGATATACAAATGAAATAATTAAATCATTGAATTACTATAGAAATTAAATTAACTAGATAGAAATTAACTAAAAAGTTAAAAATAATGTATGACGAGGAAGCGAAACTACTTCACAATATTGCTGATGGTGTTTAGAGAGTGGGCTTTTTAATTTTAATTAGTATTTAAAGCAGAAAAAAGTATAACGAGTTTTTAAGAATGGCAACTTAAGCGAAAAAATTAGAGTTAGTAAACCAATATCTAAAACTTTTCTTTATATCTAATAACTTGCTAAATATATTTGTGTTCTGTCGTGACCTCAGACGCGGTGCTTGTTCATCCGCGAGTTACTTTGTATGCATCGTTTGTGTTTAGTAAGCAGAAACTTCTTATATGTTTGTTACATAATTAGTTTTATTAACTTCAATAATTATAAACTTCCTTGAAAACGCAATTATTTTTGTAAGTCTTAGCCAAGAATGTAATGACTTAATGTAATTACCAAGCCTGGTAATTACATTAAGTCATTACAGTTAATTGTAAATAAAAATATTCACTAGTATAAAAAAATAAAAGTAAAAAAAAAGCAGATTTATTGTAGACTTTGTACTTTTAAGAGTCTTTGTATCCTTGTGAAAAGTCTTTGTGCTTCTTCATCAAAAGTGTCTGGGTAATTCCATGTTAAATGAACCAGATCATGTCACCATACATCTCAAATTTTGCTGATTTTTATTCAGTTAAGAGTGCCTCGTAAAATAAGAGTTCTTTGAAATTTTGAGCCTCTGGCTCCAAGAAGATCCTGAAATATGACCATTTTACTTTTAGCAGATACTGGCCAGGCCCCTCTTGTCCCCTCAGAATTGCACCATTTATTTAGAGGTTTCAAGTCACATAACTTTAAAAATATTTGTTTACTTGAAAACTTGTAACTGGTTATTTTTGAGGGTAGCAAATCCAATGAAATGATCAGAAGTGTAAAAAAATATTATTAAGTACCTGTAATAATCAATTTAAATAAGTTTAGACAATTTTTTATATACCTGTTTTTAATGCTCAAGAAACCCATTTGGCCTTGATGATATCAAAAAATATATTACACCCTATTCTATATTCATTGATCTTTCAAAAAATATAAAGATTTTGATCTGCAAATATATGGATTTCCATATATGGATAACGGGGCAGGGTTTCCACTTTTTTGTAGTGGAATATTGCAATTGGTTTTTCTCTAACTTCCAGACTAGCTGGAGCTCTGAAAATTTTGGAATTTCTGTAGTGCCAATGAATATGCATGTTTAAATTGTTTTCAAGGCCCCGAAATATTAGGGGGAACTGGAGCAAGTGTCCCACTTTTTTGTAGTGAGATCTTGTGATATTTTTTACTACCTTCCAGACAAACTGGAACTTTAAAACTTGAAGCATTTATGTAGTCCTAATGAACGCCTATTAAAATTGTTTCCAGGGCAGACGACCAGAGGATTTATGGCCCGGGGCACTGGGACCATGCCCCACTTATTTTCTTAATAAATTTTTTTTTTTTTTTTTTGCATTTTCAATAAATTAATGATGATATTGGTTTCTAAATTTTTTTTGGTTTGTACTTTTCTGTTTTATTTAGTTATTTGCAAAATAAAATACAAAAATATAAAGTCTCAAGATTGTGTTAAGATTTGCTTAGATGGGTCAACGGTCAAAGTATACATACGTCCAGTTGTTGTTACAGGTGCATCAATGTTACAAATTATGTTGGTAATTGGAACCCAATACTCATCTGCTCTAGATGGTCAGAAAAGTTTGTTTAAAGGACTGTGTGGGTGCATAAATATTACCATAACATCTTGCTTATACTAATCCAATCAAGCGTATCATATTTACACAGAACAGGTTCACCAAATTTCAATGCATTAATGTTAATTTTTAATGTGTTGATGTTGTTTTGCTGATTAGGTTAAATACTTTAAATATCAGGAAAAAAAACATGCCTGTTATATTAAATCTTCACTTGTTTGTTTAAAACTAATAGTATCTATTCTGAGTCTGACTATAGTATCAGATTCTGAGTTAAAATGATGATAGCTCTTAATTCCAGGAATTGCTCTACTTAGCTTAAAACGTTTTTTCAAAGTGTTGCGCAATTCTGTCAGTCTTTCTTTTTCAATTTTTAAAAAAGTAAACAAATAATTTTTGCACAGCAGTCGTGCATTTTATTACATTCAATATCTGGTCATTTATGGGGCTTTGTAAACTTGGATTTGCAGTTATTCATTTTATAGTGTAACCAATACCATCACATGGTGACTTATCATGACTTGTAGCAAAAATGTCCACTCTGCATTAATATCAAAACCATCTTTATGTAGACAAATATTGTAAAAGTTTTTGTGGTTTTTATACTGTGCAGCACAACTATAAATAAAGAATCTTTGAAACATTAGAATGATTTTCTTTTAAATAATTAACTATTTGTCTTAACTTCATACACAAAACCAATGTCATGCTCATTATTTTCTGACATGAAGCAAAATGATTTTCCCTTAAGCTAGTCGATTTTGTTTAATAAATAGAAGGCAACAGGGTTTAACATGCGTTGACTTTGGTACCAATGGTAACTTTAGATTTTATCTTGAATCACAAATGTGTAGTTTTCTGCAGAAGACGATAAGCAGTCTTTTGCTAAATTTTCCTTTTGTTGCCTTAGGTATCTTGCTTGACATTTTGCAATGTAGGAATGAACTGTTAACTTGTATATTGCCTCTGATAACATCAATTTGTATTCTTCAATTGTTGTTGTCTGACAGATCAGTGTTGTTGTATCTGTTTTCTTTTTGATTCAAAAATTTTTAAATTATACAATGTAAAATTCTGTTATAATTTTAGGTGGATGGCTATTTTTAATTAATATACTTGCAAATCAAAAATCTTATAGACATATGTACTTTCTTAAAACATTTTAAAAAAGATCATTGAATACAGAATGATCAAAAGCCGAATGAAACATATATAAACAAAAAAAAAATTTTGAAGAAAATATTTTCAAAAAAAAGAATTTTTTATGTTAAAATTATTTCCAGATGACCATCTAGTCATCTACCCTGGAAACAATTTTGACACACATTGATCAGGACTACACAAATGGTGAAAGTTTCAGAGTTCCAGTTTGTCTGAAAAGTAGTGAAAAATCTATTACAAAGTCCTGCTTCAAAAAAGTGGACCCATGACCCAGCCCCCTCCCCCGGTGTCTTGGGCCCTGAAGACATCTTTAACATACATGTTCATTGGCACTACAGAAATGCCAAAAGTTTTAGAGTTCCAGCTAGTCTGGAAATTAGTGAAAAGTTAACTGCAATATTCCGCTACAAAAAAGCAGAAACCGTCCCCCATTATCCATATATGGAAATCCAAATATTGCAGATCAAAATCTTTATATTTATTGAAAGATCAATGAATATAGAAGATGTGTAATATATATTTTTATGATATCATCGAAGCCACATGGGTTTCTTGAGCATCAAAATGTCTTTGTGCTTCTTTATCAAGAGTGCCTGTCATTGTTATTAAATTTAAGTAATTAGTATACAAATAGTTAAAGTTTTCAAAGTATATAAATCACATTTCTCTTGGCTTTTTTATTTTACTCATAGACAATGATTTTATGACTAGAAACAGATCTAAGCTTGAGATCCTTGGATTAAAAGTCAATCTAAAACCACAAAAAATTTTTAATTTTAACTAGTTTTAAATGGAGTTTTGGTTAATTGCCTATTAAGCTAAATCTATTTATCATTTTTTTCTTTAAGATTTTAAAATTGTTTTGATTTGATAAAAAAATCTTAAACTTAAGTAACAAGACTAGAAAAAATTTAAAAACTTGTTGAAGACTCAACCCTCGGAATTAGGGTCAGCATTTGGCAATGTCGACCTAACTGCAGACCTAAAAGTGTTTGAGGTCGACAAATAATTTCCGACCTTGTTTCTGTTTTAAGACCTTTGTATAAAATTTGCTGATTGTTATTGCAACAATCTAGATCTTCCTTTATTTATGAATGGTAATGTAATTGATGAGTCATCTACCCTTCGTCTTTTAGAATTAACTCTTCAGATTTTTCTTGGAAACCATATATCAAATCCATTGCTAAATTAGCATTTGCTAAAGTTGCATCTTTTTATAGTGCTCACTTTCTTTCTCTGGATTCTATTTTATTATTTCTATAAATCTCAAATCTGTCCTTGCATGGAATCTTAATGCCATATCCAGAGCAGATCTTCGAATGATCCATTTCTCTTTTAGACAATGTGCAAAAACGAATTGTAAACATAGTTAGACCTGATTTTCCAGCCAACTTTCAAACATTGTCACACAGTTGTAATGTTGCTTCTCTTTCTCTTTTCTATAAATACTATAATGGAGAACAGTGCCCTCTAGTAGCTAACATCTCTTGCACCATCTACTAAAATTCATTCTTGTGTTATTCACCATTCAATTTAGTCTCATTCTTTTACTGTGACTGTTCTTAAGTGTTCTGTAAATTCTTATTTGTCTAGTTTTTTTCCTTGACATTCAGTTAGAATTCGCTCTCTTCATCTGAAAAATAATTCAACTTTGTAGCCAAAGCTTCAAGTTAATATCTTCAATTGTGACTAATGACAAAATATGTAGAAATGCATATTAAAAAAAAATTTTTTTGCTAAATTTTAAGTTTTTTAATTTTAAATTTAAAGTTTTTAAATTTTAAATTTAAAAATTATATATGTTTGTTTTTAGGTACAAAAATGACAGGAGCTGGTATGGCAGGCCTAATGTATTTTGTTTCTACAGAGGAAGATCCTTATGTTGATCTCAAAGGAATGGTACAAAATTAGTTTTTTTCTAATTTGTGCAATAAAATTTAACAATAATTTTTTTTTTAATTAAATAGGACAATGATGATAAAGATGATAATGTTAAAAAAAATAACTTATTGTTTAATTAAATAGGACGATGAGGATAAAGAAGATTATGTTATAAAAAAGAATGACAACTTATTTGTTGTCGGAAAAATGGAAGAAGATCATAGTTGTCTTGATGTATATGGTAGTTTTTTGCAATAATTTTAATCATTAAATTATTTGTTAATTATGGATTATAACTAATTTTTAAGGACAATAAACATGTTCTTTTATTTAAAAACAAACAAAATAAAGTTTAATGTGTATAATTTTTAGGGATGCACTGATTAAATGAGCTTTTTATAAGCTTTTTATTAGCCTTGAATATCATTTACTGATGGCATAATAATAATAATAATAATATCTTTTTTTTTCTTTGTGTTTATATTCTACATAAAGACATAAAATAATCTTATAAATACTATAGAGTATAAATTTAAATGTTTTTATGCATTGGCATCGGCCAATGCATTGGAATCTGTCTGTATGCATTGGCATTGGTCAATAGTAGCTGTTAATGCACCCCTAATTAATTCAACTAAAATGTAATCGATTGCCAAAATATCTATCTCAAAAAAATGTTTTTTCATTCAATTATAAACAATATTCAAAAATATACTACCGTCCATAATTATTCAAATGTACTTTTCGTACTTTTCGATATAAGATATCAAAGTTTTACTTATTATTTGGAGTAAAAAATGTAAGCCATGTCTACCTGAATTATATGTTATCTTCTTATTTATTAGGTTTACAAAAAATTAATGTAAAGTCCCATTAGATTAGTTTATAAGTTACTTGCCTTTTAATCACCATTAGCGACAATGACAGTCATACATATTTTTGGCATTTTACTTAATAAACTAACCAATTTGTCAAAGTCAATATTATGCCACTAACTAATAAGTTTTTTCCACATCTTATTCATCATTAGGCATTAGTTTTTGACATTACTTTTAATTCCTCTCATAAAAATCAGGTAATAAAGAGATCGGGTAATAAAGAGATCTAATAAAGAGATCTTATGATTGGGTAGGCTAAATCATTTTATTCAATATTTGATTGTTCTCAAACTCATTCAAATAACTTATACAGATTTTTGAAAAATATGTTTTTGATTTAAACTTAAGTCATTTTCTTCTAAAAAAATAAGTGGTTTCCCATTAACCCATCTTTTTGAAGGTGTAGCGTGATTTTTTTAGTGTGCATTTAAACTACTTTTGTCATTACTCTTTAATTTTACAAAGTCACCTGTGGCGTTCCAACTAAAATAGCCCCATACCTTAACGCTACATCCACCATGTTTTACAGTCAATAATAGGCACAATTTTACCATAGATTTAATTTTTTTCTCCAGACAAACAATCTTATCTTTATAGACTTGTCGGCACACGTTTACAGACATTGATGATCTTTTTTATAAAGTTTTGCCCTTTTTCATATGATTCTTATGATTTTTATCAAAGCATTTTAATCAAAATACTTTTAAATTAATTCATAGTGTGAAAATAAACATAAAAAATAATTAAATAAAAAATAGCATTTTCAAATAAAGTTAATATTATTCGAATTATTATGAACGGTAGTGTATATGGGAATGATTTCAAACTTAATTACAGGGCTGTGAAAATATTTTTAGTGGAGTCGCTAAACAAAATCATGACTCCGCCTCCAATAGTAAAACTTTGCAGTATTGCATGTGCATGTAGAAAATATTTAACCTTCAAAGAACTTTTCATATAGTTGGCAAAAAAAAATAATTTTAATTGTGTTATGTTTTTTAAAGAATTCAAAGAATTTTTCAAAAATTTTGCTTTGGAGTTGGAGTTAGAGTTGTACTCTGAAAATTGCAACGACTGGAGTCGGAGTTGGTACATTTTTTTTTCACAACTATACACCCCTGCTAAATTAGCTTAATTTTAAATGAAATGATTCAATATTAGGTAAGAAAAGTGTCATATTTTTAATTTTTTATTGTTTTAATTAAAAAGTTATTTAAAAGTACTTCCTCAAAATTCTAATAATTTCCTCTAAAATGCTAATGAAAATTTATTAAAAACATTTATGTCAGAAAGAACACTAAAATTAAAGGAAACAAAATTCAGCAATCGTTTTGGTAATCGAGCATTATCCTACTATGGTCCTAAACTTTGAAATATACTTCCAAATAACATCCGTGACAAAAAAAACACAACTATTTATAAGAAAAAACTAAAATCTTATTTAATGATAAATGGTGAACTATTCCACCAGAAAACTCTTGAATGTTAGATTAAAATCTCTTGAATATTAATATTAAAAATTTTTTTTACTAATATAATAATTTGTTGCACAGCTGAGCAAGTGTTTTATCCACTATTCTGACAAAACACAGTAGCTGTGGGTAAACATATGTATTTAATTTTACTTATTATATTTATATCAAAATATTTGACAAAAAAAACTGTGAGTGATAAATGATTGTAATAACAGTGAGCAATAAATGGTTATACCAAATTAGCTTTAAACCACTCAATTGAATACAATATTAAACTTTTTTTTTTTTTAACATTTTTTTTATATATCATTTATTACAATTGAAAATATGTTATGTTTATTTATTTCATAAATAAATATATGCTTTGTGACCTATTGTTACAACATATTTTTGAATATATTAGTTTATTTATCTTTGCCAGAGCATATTTAACATAAATGAATAATTTTAGAAGATAATTTATAAGATTTTGTATAAACACCCAACCCAAACTTCTAGTTAGCATAGTGGCATTTCTTTACATGTTCTCTAGATAGTCAGTCGATGTATATACTAAAGCCTTCCCAGCTCTTTATTTCAGTATAATATATTGTTTTTTTTTCTTTTTTTAATCTAATACACTCCCAACAAAGCAACCGCTATAAAGTTAGAAGTTACTTGGAAACAAAGAATAGTGTTAAATAGCAAGGAAATGGTTGACAAGCCATGAACTTAAATGTTGTATGTGTTTAGAAAATATGAAGGTGGGAGAGAATTCCTAAAAATTAAAGTATGAGGAAAAAAACTAGATAAATAAAAGTTTTGAAGGCATGAAGGGTCAGTTACAGTTAAAAGATGTAACTTTGCTAAATAATGAGTCAAACGAGAATGAGTTTTGGTTTATGGAAATCAGTGATCATAATAGTATATGTATCGACCATGATAATATTTGTAGAAAAGAGAAAAAGATGCAACTTTGTGAGGATGGGCGAGCAACTCTAACTTGAAAGATAGAGCAAGTCTACGTTTAAACTATGAAGATAACTTTTATACTGCGGTTAAAAAAAATTATTCAATAATCTCAATAAAAATTTCATTTGATAATCTCAAAAAAATACACCATATAAGGCAAGCTTATGAAGAAGACCAACATGTCAAACTTTATTGAAAACTGTCAAAAGAATAGACCTTGCCATCTCAGCCTCCATAATCTACAAATGTACAATATAATTTTTTAGTTACATTATTTAGCAAGTCAACCATAGAACAAGATGATCGAAAACTGTATTGATTGTCAGAGAGTAATTTATTAGACTCAGGGTGGGTTGTTAGAAAGTTGTTGATTAAAGATTCAAAGACCTTGCTAATAATATAGATAAGACTGATTGGATGATAGTTGAAGGGGTAAAAGTGATTTCCAGAGTTTTAAAAAATTGGAACCAAAGATGCCGTTTTTCAGCCGGCACAAAGAGAAGATTTAATCAAGCACTTATTAAATAGCTTTTCACTTATTAAATAGTCAAATCCATGAATTATGATTGGTTGATATGAATTAAAAACATGTTTTGTATCAATATCGAGTAAACACAAGATAGGTTTTTAGTCTAAAAAATGTATTGAAACATTTCAAATGTCTAACACACGCCTTGTGTTTACTGGGTGTTGACCACTATTATATTTATAAACCATAATATTTACTAATATTGCAGTGTAGAATATCGATCAATATTATAATTCTGAACTATTTGCTAATATGGTATTTATTAATTCGGCAGTTTAGAAAAACAATCAATGTGAAATATTTCTATTTTCTAATATAATACATATCATAGCCTATAATATATATGACAGATGATATTTGCAAATAGAATGTATAATAAATATATAATCATTTTATCTGTGCAAATATATCTGTCTAATAGCTTCAGAGCTTGAATTTATCACAGTCTTTTATATATGAATTTTCCCAACTGAGGTTGTTTAAAACAGTTGTATTATTTTTTTTGGGAAGACCATTTTTAAATATTGTAGATTTTGTATCATGATGGAACAAATCAACTTAAACCTAAAAAAAAAGATTTATTTTAGAAAATTGCTTAGCTTTAAAAAATTTAAGTTAAAATTGTTATTAAAAAGAAAATTGTTTTTAAATAAATTTTTTTTTACCTAAATCTCAGTGTTATTAATTTAGTTTTGCTAATACTTCAGCATCAGATTTTAAGTAAAAACTTTATTCAACAAATGATTGAATAAAATTTTGGTATTTTTTGGTTTGGATAAACCACCTATTTATTGAAACATGATAAGTTCTTAAATCGTGGTCTAAAAAATTTTTTATTATATTTTAAATTTTTTTTTTTTATCTTTTAGTGTACAATGAGGAAGAATCTAGTCAGTATGTGCACCATGATATTCTCCTTGAATCATATCCTTTGTGCTTAGAATGGTTAAGTTATGACCCTGTCTTAGATGGAAAACCTGGTATAATTTAAAAAAATACTTTTTTATCCCTATTCTTTATGATAATACTTAGAGTTGTATGTGTAGTTGTTGTATATAATATTTAGTTTTTAATTTAGGTAACTATATAGCAGTAGGAACAATGGAACCAGATATTTTGATTTGGGATTTGGACATTGTTGATGTAGTTGAACCAGCCTTTGTTTTATCTGGTATGAAAAAGAAAAAGAAAAAAGTATGATAAACGTTTGTTTTTTTAATTATTTGTTATTATTTTGTTTTAGGCGGACAACCAATAAATTCAATTAAACCATTTAAATGATTTTTTTTTTTTTTTTCTTGTACTCAAAAATAAAATAATAAATCTTGTTTACAGATTTTTTGGTATTTTTTTATCTACAGTATTTTTTTATCTACAGTATTTTTTTATCTACAGTATTTTTTTATCTACAGTATTTTTTTATCTACAGTATTTTTTTATCTACAGTATTTTTTTATCTACAGTATTTTTTTATCTATAGTACTTTGAGAATTTATTATAAGTAGCTGTAATGCATGTTAGAATAGTGGTATCAGAATCAGGTTTGAGAATCAATTAGCTCTAAGTATACAAGTTGCATTGGCAACAAAGGTGACACAAACTTTTCTGTGACGACTGTTAAGTCTTTTGAGAGCATCTATATAAATAAATTTTTGCATGTTCCGTTTCCTAAAGAAAAAAGTTCTAGGTTTACAAGAAGTGCAAAAAATTATGACAAGAGCAAAATACTAAAGAGCAAAAAATACTTGAGTTGCATGAAAAAATGGTCAAGTCAACTAATAAAAGAGTTGAAGGCCAAAGAAGCCAGAGTAGAATGTAGATATTTTAAATGAAGCTCAGCATAAATTACTATTTATGCTGATCCGTTTGTCACCCTCAATATATGATTAGTTACTTTTTTCAATTAATTTATTATTTAACCTAATGTTTCTGATACCAATAGAAAAAAAGACCCATCTAGGTAATACAATTTAATACATAATGAAATTGTTAACATAAAATGTTTTTAGTTTCAATGAAAATAATAAATTAAAAAAAGTTTATTATGAACACTATTAGTCTGCCTGATAAACAGAAAATTATAAATTGAATTATCTTTGAAATATTTTAGCTTATTTTTATTTAAAAGCATTAACTAGTTTTTTGGTTTGGTTAAAAATAACTTGGTTATAGCAATATACAGTGGTGTAAAAAATATTAGAATCATCTATAAGTTGAACTGATTTTTCATTTTAAAACATGCCTGTTTAGGTTTTTAAAAATAGATACAAGTAAAATACGAGTAAAAAGTTTTTTTTATTTTATATTATTAAGGTCTGTTATAACTTTAAGGTTGTTTACCAATTATATACTCTAAATAGTTCTAACAACTTACCATACTATCTTCTATTATACTGTTAATCAATATTTTTCAAAGTACTATCTTTTCATCAGCAGCTGTATTTTTAAAGCATGATTTTATGTTAGTAGTTGAGCTTCAAAAAATTTTTTTTTCAGTATCTGACCATCCTTAGCTTTAGTAGTTGATCATTTACTCAATGAGAGAAAAATAAAAACCATGATACTGTTTCTTGATATTTTGCTTATTTTTCTTTTTTTGCCTCTTGTTGTCATTTTCTTTCTTTCCTTTTCAGCTGCTCTTTCTTAAAAAAGTATGAAAAAATGTGGTCTAATAAATCATAAAAATATCAAATTTACATATTATGATGAGATAAGATAAACAAAGGAATTAATGAGTAGTTGACCACCCTGGTCAACTAGTAAATAAATTTAAATTTTCTGATAAATTATTTGACCACCCTCGTAACTGACTACAGATGGACAATAAACAATAAATAATTTTTAATTACTATCAAACAAATTTTGAAATATATTGATCTAATATTAAAATAAAAACTATCTTTTTAAATTAACCTTATTTTCAAAGTGTCCTTAGTAATATGTGAAAGAAAACTTTTAAATTTTGAAAAGAGTGTAGAACATTCACATTGGCATTCAGCCATCTTTGTTCAAAGCTGCCAAATATTTGCAGTGTTTACGCTTGTACAGCCAAATGATTGTTTTTAAAATTATTCTGCCAGAGTCAGGTTTATTTTAACAATTTTTCTTCTAAATGGTCAACTACTGGCACATAGTCAATTACTGGTACCGTTACCTTAGTTACTTTTGGAAAGTACAAAGAAACTTAAGATTTGAACTACTTTATTAAAAAGTTTTAATTTTAGGGGAAATTTACATGATTTCAATACTTTTTTAAAATATACATACAGTATGATTGGCGGCTATTTTGACATGTTTTATTTATACTTGTAAAGTTTTGATGATTGTGCATTATTAAGCAGTATAAGACACATTTTATTTTATTTTGGTATATAATCTGTGGGAGATCTTACAGGTACAACGTTATGAGCAATGGCACTGCCTTAGTTAAAGCAAATTTTAGAGAGATCAATCTAAAGCCCTAATAAAACTATATGAATTTTCTCAGATAATGATTGTCAAAAAAGTAGGTTAATAGCAATTTATATCATATCAAAAATTTTTATATTGCTGAAATTCACTGTAAAATTGCTCAGATTCCAGTTGAAAAAATTGCCACAATGGCACCAGCCAATAATAACATTTTTCATTCTGTTTTGATTGGTTTAGTGCAAGAAAAACAAATAGCAAATTTAAAGCAAATTACAGCAAAATAGTATTAATTTTTATAACATTTGTGTAAGGCTTTATCTTATCCACTCAGATTTTACTTTTCGGGACCAAATAAATAGCCACTGCTGATAAATCACAAGCAAAATATCTCTAGTGGACCTTCAACTTTTGTTATTGCTTGACCCAAACTAAAGCAAATCAAGTTGAATCACATTATTTTATTGCACACATATCTATTGCCCTTTGCTTTTTCATATGCAACCTAGATCTTTAAAATTCAAGTTAAAAATCTTTTGCAACTTTTTTGATTCAGAACATTGGGTGGATTGGTCAATGGTTGCCATGATAAAAATTTCCAATCTTCTGTGGCCTAGAAGTTCATCAGATATGAATCTAATTCAAAACATAAAAATAGTCAAAATTCAGTGAGCTTAACAGCATAAGCAAACTTGCAAAATCTTATTGACTTTAAGTAATGTATATGAAATCATGGAAATGCGCCACTGAAATCATGGAAATGCCCCAAAAATAAAAATGGTACATATTGAAATGTTTTTGAACTAAAAGGTGTACCAATGAGATGTTTTGTTCAAACATTTTAAAGAAATTACAAGTTATACTTCATGAAACCATTTTTTTATGTTATTTAAATTGTTGATTCTAATATTTTTTATACCACTGTAAGTTGTAAAACATCGTCCCCTCAGTATTATCTTGTTCTATCTACAAATGTTATAAATAAAATGTTATATCTAATATTTAAAAATAAATATAAAAAAAAATTATATATAAATAAATACAATGTTCAATGTAATATAATATATTATATTATATCATGTAGAACATTGTATTTATTTATACATTGTTATGTATAAATAAATACAAATATTATTATGCAGAATTTATGCTATTATGCAGAACTTAGAAAAACCTTTTTGAGTAAAAAATTAAAATACCTTATAAAAGGCTTTTAAAAAGATATTAGGAAATAATAAGTAATAATTTAAAAGGACAATGGTAACCGAATAAGAGATAATTTTATAAACTTAAAAAAGAGACAAAAAAACTGAAAGAGAGACTACAGAGATAATATTAATGAGTGACCGTTTGTTTGTCATGATAATAATCTTATGTTTTTTTACCCAGTTCATTATATTTTTTGTAGAAATTAAAAGCTAGTTCAACTAATGATAATGGACACACAGATGCTGTTTTGTCTTTATCTTGGAATCATAATATTGTGTGAGTATTTTAAATAATTACAAGGGACTTTTTTGTAAATATATATAAATTTTTTCAAATCTTTTTTTTTTCTTTGAGATATAAATCTGCTTTATGACTACTAGTTTAGAAGTTATTTAATATTTTCCTTTTTTCAGAAATGTTCTTGGAAGTGCGTCCGCAGATAAAACAATAAAGCTGTGGGATATGTCTAAGTGTGAGTGTGTCCACACACTAACACATCATACTGATAAGGTATTTTTTTAATAAAATCATTTCAGTACCTTGAAGGTTAAGCATAAAAGCATCACTATTATTTTTCACTTTAGCATTATTTAAATTAAATCACTTTGATATTTAAATTACAGTCATTTATTTCAACATTATCTAAAAGACACAAGAAAACTATGAACAAAATTAAAATCCGTCTATCAAATTTCTTCTTGAAAATCTCCTTTTTCTATAACAGATATAAATATTGATGAAGCAAGATAAGGTAAACCAAATAACCAAACTTTTATAAAGATAAAAAAATTATTTGAATAAAAGATAAAAGTTAACAGATCTTTCCAGGAAAGTATATAACTGGGTTGACAGCATAAATAATATTTATAATAACTCCTGTTTTAAACGTCTTGCATGGTATTCACAATGTTTTTACCATAAACTGTTGTTTTAAAGAGCGCATTAATAAGCTTGAGCAGAAAATGTTAAAAAACTTCAAAAAAAAAATTTTTTTTTTAAATGATAGACTGCCTGCCCAAACCAAACCCTAAGTCGATGTAGCAGCACTCCGTTGCGAGTCAGGCTATTTTTCAGTCGATGTAGCAGCACTCCGTTGCAAGTCAGGCTATAAGATCGATGTAGCAACACGCTTTTGTAGCAGCAGGCTATAAGATAGTCGATTTAGCAACACTTACGCTTGTTTTAAAAATGTTTTTTAATAAAACAAAAACAAAAATACCACTTATTAAAAAAAACTTTCTAGTCATTATTATTTCGCCTTTTTTTTAAAAACAATAAAATTTAATGTACTTTTGCATTAATTTAATTGCTTTGACATTTCAACAACATCAAAATGCAGCTTAAGATACTTTTTTTACCATAAAAGTCTCTTACGACTAAACTATTAGGATATATATATATATATATATGTATATATATATATACATATATATATATATATATATATATATATATATATATATATATATATATATATATATATATATATATATATATATATATATATATATATTTATATATATAATATATATATATATTAATATATATATATATATATATATTTATATATATATATATATATATATATATATATATATAATATTATAATAATATAATATATATATATAATATTATAATAATATAATATATATATATAATATTATAATAATATAATATATATATATATATATATATATATATATATATATATATGGGTGCCCAAGAAAAAAAAATTTTTGAATTTAATATTTTGCACTCCTTGTTTATAAGGGTGGGTCATAACATTTTATTATTCGGATGGGTCATAAAAGTTGCCAACCTGGCACTGGCCTAGAAAGTTGTTTATTGTACTAATTTAGGAAAGTATTTATTTTTATGGATTAAACAATGTCTTCCACTCGCAACTATACATAAACTCAACCCTTGGAATTAGGGTTGGCATTCGGCTATGTCGACCTGAAAGTGCTTGAGGTCGGCAAAAGATTGCCTACCTCATTTCTATATTTTATGGTCAGACCTTTGTATCAAATAATTTTTTCCAACCTCATTCTTTTTGAGGTCGGCAAATTATTGCTGACCTCATTTTTCCTAAATCTGAGGTTTGTAAACTTATTTACCTTGTCATAAATGGAATCCACTTATCCAACACATCATTCAGGCTGAGTTGAAGGGAAATCTTGGTTGAATCATATAGTTTTCTTTACAGTAGGAGTTTCAAAGTCTGATTCATAATCTGTTCTACTACACTCACTGGAGAATTCCTGCTCAAAATTTCTCAAACTATTTCAGCAAATGTTTTGTCATTTTTGTTGGACATCTTGACCCCTTCAAACATCTCTTCAAAAAAATTGAATCCTCTTTTACAGTCTCTTTACTCCTTCTAGGATCTAGGATAGGCTAATTAACTTGAAAATGTCTTCCTTGTGTATTGGAAGCAAAACATTGGCTTTTTTAAAGAATAAAATGAGTGTGTTGGCTCATGGTTTCTTTGCTCATCTCTAGGTTTCTTATCTTTAAAACTTCAATATACTGGGTATACAGAGCAATAATTCTGTTCCTAAATTAAAAAGTTACAACATTTAAAAAATGTCAACATTTTAAAATACAGCATAAAAGCTTATACGAAAATATATTGCGCTGATAAATATGTTTCACAGAATACTTAATTTTTATGACAAGAGATAATCTAAGTTATGATATATATCTAAGTTATGATATATTATCTAAGTTATGATATATATCTTGTTCCAAATGTTAATCAGCTCCCTTATGATGCACACATTTGATATTTCACATACACACACCACCACTACATTTAAGCTTGCCTGTACGCCCCAGAGGACATCCAATTTCAGATGGCAATGTTTTGACATATATTTTAGGCACACACACACAGACACACACACACACACACCCACACACACACACACACACACACACACACACATATATATATATATATATGTATGTATGTATGTATGTATGTATGTATGTATGTATGTATGTATATATATATATATATATATATATATATATATATATATTATTTTGGCTCTGTAATCCCTGTAAATTTCAGAGACTAATCCAGGGATTTCAGGATCAACAGTTTGTTTAGGAACCTATAAATCTTTAGTATATTTTTTCATTTTAAATTGTACGCCCCAGAGGACATCCAATTTCAGATGGCAATGTTTTGATATATATTTTAGGCACACACACACACGCACACACACACACACACACACACACACACATATATATATATATTTATTATTTTGGCTCTGTAATCCCTGTAAATTTCAGAGACTAATCCAGGGATTGCAGGATCAACAGTTTGTTTAGGAACCTATAAATCTTTAGTATATATTTTTACATTTTAAATTCAAATGTAATGTAAATCACGAAATGTAAAATAAAGTGTTTTTATAAAGCTTTTTTTTTGACAACTGATTATTTAGGTTCAATCAATACAATGGCATCCTCATGAATCTCAATCATTATTATCTGGTTCCTTTGACAAGTAAGTCATTTTTGTTAACGTAAACTATAATTTAATAACATTTAAAAAATCCCTTTTGTTTCCTTTATGGGGAAAACCTTACAAGTATTAATTAAAAATTTGTATTTAAGTGTAGCCATACTTTGTTTTAGTTTTTTATACCTAAATAAAATCATTGTTTTATTCAAATATAAAGGAAAAGTTTTTTGGTACTTTAACTTAGATAAAACTCAATTTTTTCAACAATTTGATTAACATTAATGTCCTGGTCAGGGGTTTGGAGTCGTAAAAAAAAAGTAATGACTCCGACTCCAACTCCTGTTGTTAAAATTTTTTGAGTACAACTCAGACTCCGACTCTGACTTTAACTCCTAAGCAAAATTTTTGAAAAATTCTTTGAATTCTTTAAAAAGTATTATGCGATAAAATAAAATAAAAATTTTTGTCAAATTTATGAAACGTTCTTTAAGGTTTAGTATAAATATAAGGTTAATTGAATGTTTTATACATGCACGTGCAATACTGAGAAGTTTTACTATTGTAGTCGGAGTCGCGATTTTGTTTAGCGACTCCGACTCCGCTAAAAATGTCGCGACTCCGACTCCACAGCCCTGGTCCTGGTCTTTAATTGATTTTTAAAAAAATGTTATCTTGAAATATCTTTTTAAGTATTATCACGATAACATCAGTTTATGCAAGATAATGCAAAATCACAAAACACAAAGTAATAAAAAGTGTAATGAAAGACAAAAGTCAAAATCTTGGTAAAATGAGATGGTTTTATTTTTTAAAACCATGTTGTTATACGAAAGTAAATTTTTTTTTTGTTATCATTCACTTGATCTTATAATATTAAAACGTAAACATTTTTTGACACATGACTGTCTGAAATAATTGATTTTAGTTATATGATGCTTTCCTGCTGCTGTTACTGACTTCATTCAGGACTTTTATGATAATGTAATGTTGCCAAAAAACTGAATGAGCTAAACACTGTATATTGTGTATAAACAAAGTTAATTTTACTAGCCTACTATTATGCTAACAATGTTATCAAAGAATTAATCAATAAACAGATCCTAATAAAATTAATTTTTTTACCATGCTATGTTATTTTTTAGAAAAGCTGTATTGCTTGATTGCAGAACTCCAAATGTAAGTAAATATTTCAATAAAATTGTAATTTTATTGAAATAGTAATAATTTTAATTTTAATTTTGTTTCTATTTTTTCTATAGTCATTAAAATGAAATTTACCATTTTACCCACCTTTGTGAATATATATGTGTGTGTGTGTGTGTGTGTGTGTGTGTGTGTGTTACTGTTACCAGTAGTACTAGGAATTAGCTAAATGCTATTTTTAATAGAATATTGCTTCTCAGAGTTTTATGTAGCAAAATGAATTTTTTACTTCTTGTCTGATAATTGTGGTAACACATTTAACACATAAGTTATATAAAAACAAGACATTAAAATAAATTAAGACTAAGTTATGTAAAAATAAGTAAATAAGAAATGAATTAAGTTGTTCAACAACATTAGTTTTATTTATGTGAAAAAGGATTTGTCACTATTCAGTCAATTTCTTTAAAAGTAAAAAACTTCAAGAAATTCATTGATGTGAGTTGTTGTCTAGATTTTTCATTGCGCTTACTATCATGGGTGGAAAAAGTAACAAAACTTTGTACTCAAGTAAAAGTTCTGTTACTTGAGTGAAATTTTACAGTACAAGTAAATGTTACTGGTTGATAAGTTAAAAAGTAAAAAAAAACAGATTAAAAATGTACTCAGAGTAAAAGTTACCACGCCACTTTTTTAACAAATTTTTAATTTAAAAATTTTCAATTAAAATTCTAATAAAAAAGATTTAAATTCAAAATGTCAGCAACGCATGTGTTTGATGTCTTCATCAGTATGTATCAAAACTTGTCACTTGTATCAAAATTAAATTAATGAAAATGTAATTTGCATCGAAATTTGCAATTTAGGATTTTTATCAAAATTCTGTACAAGGATTTAAAATTAAATGTGTTTGTTTTTATTTTTTAATTGTCTTTTTTTTTTTTTTTTTTTTTTTTTGATTTGTTTGTTTTACTGAAGTTTTTTTTTATTTTTGCTTTATCAGCTGATTTATTAAGGGATTAGCTTCTTGAAATTTTCAATGCAAATTCATAATTCTATTTTCGATACAAACCCAAATTGTTTTTTTTTTAGCCGTTTCTTTTTCATGGTTTTGATCTAGATAATGCTAACTGTTTTCATAACTTCAGTTAAAACAATAAAAACTATAAAAAAAAAGTTATAAAATAGACTTTTTTATCAAATAAAAACTTAAATTATGCTTTTTATAACATTAAACATTACTAAAACATAATTTTTTTTTTTCTTTGTAACATGTATGATTAAAAATGTAAAAGAATGTATACTACAATACTTTAAAAAAAATACTTTAGTAAAAAATACTTAAAAAGTAGAAATATACAAAAATCTTCTTAATTACTGTAACTTTTCAATTACTGTAAGTAAATTTAAGTTACTTTGCACCTTTTTATTTTATTATTATAGATTTTAGTGAAATAACATTTTTTAAACTAAAAAATAAAAAAAAGGGAATTTAACAAAGTCTTTTGATTATAATTTTTTTTTATTAATGTTTTTTTATAAAATGATTATTTTTGAAGTTTTTATATAATTTTGGTTTATTATTTATCCAACATGACAAACCTTTAAAAAACATTAATTTGAGCTCACTTTTTTTTTTTATAAAACATTAATTTAAAACAAAATAAATTTAAAAAATTTTGATGTTATAAGTAAAATCTATACGCATTATGGAAATCAAAAAAAAAAAAGTAAAAATAATGATTTTGATACCAAAAAATAAAAAAATAATGAAACATGTTATTTTCATTTGAAAAAAAGATTGACCAAAAGTTAAGGATATATTTCAAATAATATATCAGAACAGCAATTTACAAAAGGAAAGCCATAAAAAAAAAAAAAAAAAAATTTAATATTTTAAAATGTTTTTTTGCGGTGCACAGTCTTATTGATATACGATATTGCTGTTTTTTCTTCAAAATATGTCCATTGAATGAAGAAGGCAGTTATCTAAAATTTCAGGCAGTTATCTTAAAATTTCAAGCGGGAAGCGAGAGCTTTAGCTCTCGCTTCCCGCTTATACTGTTCGGGAAGTGAGAGCTTTAGCTCTCGCTTCCCGAACAGTATAACTTTTTTCACGAAAGTACAATTATCGTTGTAACTAAAAAAAAAAGCAATGTTATTTTAAAAAAATTAATTGCATAATATACTGTGATTGTTTTTAAAAAGCATGGTTGTTTAAAAAATAAAAAAATAAAAAAAGAGCGGCAATTTAAATGAGAAACAGCTTCCCAAGTTTGTATTAGGAGAGCTTTTCTCTGCTCTCGTGCTCATTTATTCCCGCCTAGGCCTATATATATATATATATATATATATATATATATATATATATATATATATATATATATATATATATATATATATATATATATATATATATATATAATAAACACACAGTTTTTATAATATACAAATTAAATGAACTCAAATAGGTTTTTAAATCCTGGTCATTATCTGGAGAATGTGAAAAGGTTTTATGGGATCATTTATCACCATGTAATTTCTATGTAAGCTTTTCCTATATTATCTTTAATTTTTTTTTAGTCTGAAATATTGGTGGTAGAATTGGTGATGATGATGATGATGATGATGATGATGATGATGATGATGATGATGATGATGATGATGATGATGATGATGATGATGATGATGATGATGATGATGATGATGATGATGATGATGATGATGATGATGATGATGATGATGATGATGATGATGGCGATGATGAATTTATTTGAATTTTACTTTGGATTTTAAATTATGTAGATTTTAAAGGTGGTAAATTTTTTAGGTGAGCACAGACGATGGCATTGTTTTATATTGCGATGTTAGAAGTGATCAACCAATTTTTACAATTCATGCTCATGAGGAAGCTGTTACTGGTAAATTTTCATTTCTATATACATAAAAAGAAATATATATATATACATATATATATATATATATATATATATATATATATATATATATATATATATATATATATATAACAAAATTTGTGTATTTTGTCATAAGGAATGTGCTTATCAGCTAATATCCCTGGAACTTTGACAACAGTTTCGTCTGATAAAAAGTTAAAAGTGTGGGATACAACGGGTAAAAAGCCTACATGTGTGATGTCACGTGATATGAAAATGGTGAGTTAACAGAAGTATAAATTATTTTACTTTGTTTAAATATATGAATATAATGTAAGATTTATTAAGCTTATGTAGATGTGACACATAAGAGTGTGTAGTGTGATACTACACACTTTTTGAAAAAGATGACAATTGCAACAAAATTATTTTCAAAGTGCTAATGCCCCTAAATTTGATTTAGAGAAATAAAGATTTGTATGCTTTAAAACATGTAACAAATGTTCCAACATTATTTATGGTCAAACTAAATATTTTTTCTCTAAAGCATCAGTATTAGTTGTAGGAGGTGTCTTTTATAATCTATAGTTATGCATTTCAAACTTCAACAAAACTGTACATATTTGTTTTTTTTAATTTTTGTACAAAATTTGCATTACCAATTTGTGTTTGTAAAACTTGGTTTTAGAAACTTATTTAATGAGGGTTTAATAGATTTCTTTACTTTACTAGTTTCTTATATTTATAACGTAAATTAAATATGTATATTAAAGCATAAATTAAATACATTTAATAACAACAATTTTTTTTTATTACAACAAACTGGTACTAGAAATTTAATAGCTTTAAAACAAGATTCACCGCTTGCTTGAATTTAAAACATAAAAGCAAATTTAAATGTTTCAAAGAACTACAGTCATAATAACATTTTATGACTATGCATGAAAGAATAATTATTGGTATTCTTCGTTGCCACGATAGCGTGCAACCACTTGCGATCTTTTGTAATTCTTTTGTAAATAAATGACACTTGTCGTTGTTTTTGCTGAGACTTTGTAATTGTGACTTTACTTCTCTATACGATTTATATATAAAGAAAGTTAATATTAATTATAAAATTGAACTCGCAGTAAATGTGAAATATGAAATTTACGAGCTTGTGTTTATTATTTTTAAAACCTTTTTATATTTTTTTATTTTAAAACATTTCTTTTGATGACACAATTTGTTACATAATAGTGTAAAGGTTCGTCCATAAAGGACGTCAAACAGAAGTTAAATAATAATTAGAAGTTCGCTAAGAAAATAATAATTAGAAAAATCCTTAGAAAATATTAATTAATTAGTTAGATAATTAATTAACTAGATAATAATTAATTAAAAAAATCCTAAGAAAATAATAATTAGAAGATCGCTATATTACTTTAAAAATTGCTATATTACTTTTAAAATCGCTATTTTACTTTAAAAGTTGCCCTTTAATGCCCACTAGTGAAAAAAATATATATCTTTGAAAGAATACCTTTAAATATGAAAGCGGCAACAATATTTTAAGATTAAAATTAAATCAAATATATTGTTCTTAATGATAATAAGTTATTTTAGGGATTTTCGGAAAATCCCAATTCTCTAAAAGTTTTTTTCCAAGAGACATTTTTGCAGCTATGCAAGTGCGTAGTTATACCAATAGCAGCAATTTTAATTCAACTTTTAAACAATAAATTTTTTGTTATTTTTCTATTAGTTTTTGATAGTAATTAATTTTAAATAATTTTTAGAATTATTATTAAACTTTAATTAGACAAACTTTATTTAGAAAAAAGGATTTTTTTGACTTTTAAATTGGGAATTTTATAAACATTTTGGAACACCACTTTTTTTTTTTGCTATAACAATTTTTTTGCTATAATAATTTTTTTAAATTTGTTATGCAAGTTTTTAATTGAAAATGAATGACTGCAATGTTTGATTAGAATAGGAAAAATAGTAGATAAAATACTAAAAAGATGACAAATAAAATCAAACAGATGTGGAATAGGATATATAGATTCTCCTCTACATAAAATAACATTTATCATAAGTTTAACATGGAAATCTTTTTATTTTATTTTTTACCAATGTAACTTGATTTAGTATATATACCTATGCCATCTTCAGAAAGCTGACACTAAAATTTATGCAGACAATTAAGCAATGTTTTGCATAATATTTTTTTAAGGATTATCAAATATCTGATAAATATTTTCTTCCCAGAAAATATTTCTCAGGTATTCGGTAATTGACTTCTGCCAAAGTCTTTTCATTATTGTATATTTCTAAAAGACTTGTAAATAGTTTTTCACTGCTCATTTAACTATACTTACTTAAATCTAGCTCCAAATGATCACTTTGTAAACTGAAAGTAATAAAAATATTGAGCCCTCTTCAAGGAAAGCATAAGAAGTTTGGTTAATGTAAAATATTTACATTTTGATCAAATTTCAATACAGTTTGCAATTTCTCTATAAAGTATGGGTTTGTTGATACCTTTCGCAGCAGCATTGCTGATTTGATTGGATGAAATGAGTTTCTGCTTTAAAATAAATATGATTTGATTGGATGAAATGAGTTTCTACTTTAAAATAAATATGATTTGATTGGATGAAATGAGTTTCTACTTTAAATTAAGTATGATAAATAACTTACATATCGATAAAAGTTGTGCTGCATTATTTCTTTCAGAAAAATAACTCAATACTGCAGCTACAGTTGTTTTGGCAAATATAATTGATCTTTTGATAAACTTTATAAAATATATTCCCTGTAATGTAACCAGAAGTAACTTCAGCTTAATCTGTTTCCTACACTTTTTACAAAATGTTGTATATCAAATAAGAAATGATATATCCATATACTCGACAATAAATAAATAGTTTTCTCCAGTATATGCATTATGAAACTATGAGAATGCATTAACATTGGTAGAATGGTTATCAACAGCTCTCTTATTTTAAATTCAGTTGGTGCATTGAGGTAATATACTCATCAGTTTTTTTTTCAAACATTAACTTGATATGCAAACTTCAAGGGAGGATTTCACAACTTAAGCCCTACAATCATAAAAACAAAAATAATTTCTTTATAAAGATTATTTTTAAAGATTACTTTCTCAATCTTCACTTTAATATTGTGCTAGTTTTTGTAAATACATATTGACCACAAGAAGCATGTAATGACTTAATACACAATTTTTGTCAATAATTTTTCAAACATACTACAGTTTTTTAATTTGTAACTTTTACCACTGCGAAACCATTTAGGTAAAGAAATATGATAGTCTTTATAAGACAATAAAAAATTAAGAATTTTATTAAACAGTTATCAAAAACAATTAGTACGCCTGATATATCTTGGCCTACTGTAAATAAATGGCTTGATATGTTGCATTTTAATTGCTACTTGTTTGAAACATGCAGCGTAATGGAGTATTTACATAGCAAAACATTGTTTTGCAGTGTAAATGTTCCTTAGAAAAACGTATGTTTTATTCCTAATAATAAACACAATTATAATAAATACAAAATTACAAACCTTTACAATTAATTCAAATGGAGAGTTGTGGGTAGTTGTAGCAACATGTAAGGCTATTTTTAGTAGCATTTTGATATTGTTGATATAGCTATCAACAATATCAACATGCTACTAAAAAAAAGCCTATTTCAGTATTCTGTGTTATTAGAATTAACTGAAGCAGGCAATCAGTTAGCAAAAAATCCAGCAAAACATAAAGAAATTCATTGAAAATCTAACTATTATTTAACCATTTTTATAAAATAAGAATAAAACACTTGTAGTGCAAACACGACTCTTATCCATAACAAGCCATAAAAAAAATGGCCTCTTGATTTTTTTAAGTTCTTGTGTGTGTGTGTGTGTGTGTGTGTGTGTGTGTGTGTGTGTGTGTGTGTGTGTGTGTGTGTGTGTGTGTGTGTGTGTGTGTGTGTGTGTGTGTGTGTGTGTGGGCATACTCACATATACATATATAAACACATTATATAAATATATGAATGCATAGTTTTTTATGTTTTAGATAAAAACATTAATAAAACAATTGTAAGCAAAAATAAAACAGGAATCATTACAGTTTTTAAGGAAGACTGTAATTATACTTTCTTATATAATCTTCAATCAAAACATGCATCACATGTTTTGTTGATATACAAATTTATCATTATGTCAACTTTCACAATCTTGACATAGCTCCATGTTATAAAAATTTCTTGTATTATTCATAAATACTAAAATATTATATTTAGTTGAAAAATTTCTATTTATTTATTTGAAATGTGCTAAATTAAGATTACAAACTTTCGATATCTGTAACAATTTCTATATCATATTTAAGATTAAGAAAATAAAAATAACAAATACATATATAAAAATATAAAAAACAATATTGAAAGCATATTAACACTAGAAGGAACGTTTGAGTTGTTTTATACTAACAGAGCTCAATAAAAAATTCATACAGCAGTTACTTTTGGGCTACTAAATATAATCTCTAAATATTAAAACATTTACAAAGCTAAATTTAATATAGCGTCATCATAGCGTTGTAAAAAAAATGTTTTTATGTTTAAATAAAGCCCTGATTGCTGTCTACCATACATAACTGTATGTAGACAGCAATCAAGGTTACATTATTTAAATCTTATATACATAAGATTTAAATAATGTAACATTGTTCATAAACAGTATAACAATGAAACATTTTGAAAACATTTGGAATTTATAAGTACACAAATAGCACTTTATGACATTTGATGTTTGTATTTTTTTATATTTTGAACAATAAAAGTAACATAGAATGTTGTTTTTATTATTCAAAATATAACAAAAATACAAAGATTAAAAATGTTGTAAAAAACTATTTTTATACATATATATTTCATCATTCTCAAAATAATTTTAAAATAAATATAAATTGCTACTATAATTTATTGAAGCATTATTTTTTAAATTAAGTTAAACCATCTTTACAAAAGCATTATTCTTTACGAATCTGTCAAAACATCTTAACATAAGTATTATTGTTTATAAATCTGGCTGCACTAGACATCCCAGAATCCCCAGTTGCTAAATTATGAGAAAATGAGCGAGTTCTACACCACTGCTTACTTCTAAAGTGGCTCTATTTGCTGATGACTCAACTTTATACTCTTGTCTTGACAAAAAATCTTTGCTTTTTGATTGCTTCGAACAAGCAGCCAATTTTTAATCTGATCTCTTTTTTGTCAAAGACTTACAGAGGCTTGTGGATTTTAACTTAAACATTTACTTTAAACAACTATCATAATATTGTTGACATTCCTATATGAACAAATACCAACTCTCTCACTCTCAGATAAAATCCAAAAGCACATTTAAAATGTAGTTGGCATTAAAAAATTATTTCTTATTTGTAAAAAAGATTTGATTTTTTTAATATTTGTTAACTAGTTCTGATTTCTTCCACTTTAGAGATTTTTTACATCATAATCTTTAAAAATTTATTTACGAGTGTATGATTGAACCAAAGAGGCGTGTTTTTTTACAAATTATATTTAATGTGAAAAACAAAATTACAAACATATTTTTTAAAAAAAAGATGATACAAACATATTTTTTTTAAATGTAACTGTCATTTTTAATTAAATTTCTCTACTGCTTCGATTAAACATTTTAAAGATATTTTATTATAAGAGTTAAAATTAACTTTGTGGTAACTTGAATGATAAAGAATTAATGTTATCTTCATAACATGATATATTATAATTAAAATTTAGTACAAAGTGATCTTGCCGATCCAAGAGGTGAAAATATTTCTGCTTTGTATTTGGTTTGAAGTTGTTTGATGAGCTTACATTTATTTGTTTGATAAGCTTACATTTATTTATTTGATGAGCTTACATTTATTTGTTTGATGAGCTTACATTTATTTATTTGATGAGCTTACATTTATTTGTTTGATGAGCTTATAATTATTTGTTTGATGAGCTTATAATTATTTGTTTGATGAGCTTACATTTATTTGTTTGATAAGCTTATAATTATTTGTTTGATGAGCTTACATTTTTTATGATGCTTATGGTTTTTTATGAAATTTAGAAAATTAAAATCCTCGCATATGAGTTTACCGGTGTATTTTTGACTGTTTAATACGGCTCTTTGTATGGTCTTAATTATCTTACTATCTTATCATCTGTTTTTTTTTGTGATCTCAATTATCTTATCATCTGTTTTTTTTTTTTATGGTCTCGATTATCTTATCATCTGCTTTTGAAATTTTAATGTTTAAATTGTTAGTATAATACGTATATGCATTAAAAGTATTTTTTGATTTTAAATGTGAATGATAAATGCATCTTATTAGCTTGATTTTTCGACTCCATGCTTGACAAAGCACCAAAGTTGTTCTGATTTTTTAATGTTTATTAACAAGTTTTTAATTCCAAATTATATATTTTTCTAGACATAAATTGACAGTTAGATATTATTTTAATACCACTTAATTGCCAGATCGTATTTTTACGATCGTATTTTAATGATCGTATTATTTTTAACGCCACATAACTGTTTGATTTTCGCTGAAGTTTTGCTGCTTATCTGTTTCAAGAACTTTTAAGTGAAAATTATTTGAAAACATGATGTTCACTGCTGGTTTAGATTATCCTTATTTGTTTATTCAATACTTGTTTTTATGAAGAAGTTTTTCACATTTTTTTAAAAATTTAGGTTTTTGCATGTCAACAAACAACACCAATGCATATAAACACTGATTATATTAACTGTATTACAATGAATAAAGAAAGAAAAAAAGACTAAATTAAGATTTTAAAAAAGAAAGTGATTACAAATAATTTTTGTATAAAGAATGTGGAGACGCTAGATTTTGTTGTTCAGATAATGCTAGATTTTTTCGGCGAGAGCCGCCTATAAGTGCATATGTACATATTAAACACATACTCCTGAAATTTTACTTTTAAAAGTAAATTTTAAAGAGCATGTGTTTAATATGTATATATTAAATGCATGCTCGTGTACCAGTTAAAAATATGTCATTAATTATTAAAATTATTCTAAAACTAAAATTTAAAAATATCATCATTTGAATACGATAATTAAAAGTAAGTTTCCCCCTGTTTCTGAAAGCTAATATATTAACTCTATGTTGTACTATATTTAGGGTGGTTTGAATTTTATCACAGCTTGCCCAGATGTCAATAACCTATGTGCAGTTGGTGGAGAAAAAGATGGGTTGCGAATTCTAAATGTCATGGACACAACTAAAGGTTAGAAAAGATAAGATTGAACAAAAATAATTTATTGTTAATAATTTAGGGGCATCCATAAAATTTGTACCAAGTAAAAACACTAGCCACTTTCCCCCTAGTAGCACCTGTATGGTTTAAATGATCCTCTGCGTACGTTCACATTATTAAAAACTGGAACCTCAAAGTAAAATTTCGAAACTTTTAGTTAATTCAAGACTTTTACTTTATTAAAAAAAACAGGCAGTTCCTAATAGAGGGAAAGAAAAGTAACTTCAAAAGATTTTTTTGCGAATATTTTATATAGTCCCTTTCGAATTTTTTACAAATAATAACTTCGAATCGAAAAATTGAATATTATCAAATACAGGTATGACCTCTGCTCCTTCTCTTTCGATGGAAATCTCACTAACAACTTTCATTTCCATTATTTACACTCGTATCACTTCATACTCACCATTTTAATCTCCATTTTCTCTATTTCTATCATCTTTTAATTTTTTATGTGCTTTCTTGTGTTGTTTCATCTCTGTCTTGATAGATGGGTTTGATATGCTTTTAAAACATCGAGATGGTTTCATTGCTTTGTAATCATTGTTGTAGTATTTGTAGATGACTTGAAATGGAACGAAACGAATGATTCTCAGCCAGTCTGTTTTAAACGGTAAGCAACACTATGGTGACTAGTTTTAGCATTTCACAATTTGCAGTCATTATCCCAATTGCTTGCTGTCTTTTTCAACTCAAATAGTATCAGAAGTAGGTGGATTTATACGCTTTTTCACCTGGTACCGCTTTGTAATAAACAGGGTATCCATTAAAGACGGTTTCCAGTTTGTGGTCTTCATCAACTGTACAATTAGTTTGTGATCTTCATCAACATTGTCTTTATAGAGGTTCATAAAGAGCTTCATAGAGAGAATACAAGTGATTGTTTTTAAAAATAATCATAAAGAAAAAAATATTTAAAATAAACTATTCCAGAAAAACTATTTAAAATAAACTATTCCATCAGAACGAAGTGCTATTCTATTTTCAACAGGGTTGAAGGCAGAATCTCTAATCACACCAAGAAGCAAGGCATCCAAATCCAGGAAATGGAAGAAGTCGAGAGCTCTTCCGTTTGGTGGAGAGGTCGAGAAATAATATAGTTTTTAGGAAGCATAGTGCCTCATCTTGAGCACCATCAGTCTCCATTAATATAATTGGTCTACGTCTAACTTGATTTAACAACGATGCCCTGGCTTATCATTGTCGGAGCTCAAAAGTACAGTTTTCTATGCAAACAGTTTGCATAGTTTAAATTATTTTATCAATGAATAACATGGCAAGCATTCTATTGTAGTTTTTCTTTTCCACAATGTGGAAAAGAAAAATTACTATAGAATGCTTTCCACAGTGCGTTTCCACAGTGTGATAAAAGGTTTAAAGCCACTCCAAATCAAGTTAAATCTTATCTTAGTTCTGTCTGGGGGTCATGCATAGTAAAAGCGTTTCGAAAACATTCTGCTCTTCTACGTCTGCAGCTGATTAACTGCATAATTTTTGATCTACTTCGAGGCTTTCATTAATAAGAAATCAAGTTAAATCGCCCACTTATTTGCTGTTTTATACACGTACTTAATGTCTTATTCCCTTTTATGGACTCGTATATTTTTTATGGACTTTTACGCTTTTGAGTAACCCCTTTTTCGCCATACTGCTGTACGTACTTTAAAAAGGTTTCCTTAGCAAAAACTTTTTTTGGCTTTAAGAATCTGTTTAAAAATAAGTTTATTGTCTTATAACAATAGGTAAAGAATATTTTCGAAATGAAGCGATGGCTTCTGAATCAAATGCAAAAAGTAACAAGGTATGCTTAATATTTACTTTTTTATTTTATTATTGAAATAACAGCGATGATTATGACAGAAAATATTTTTGTACGCAGGATGATACTACGGAAAAAAAAATGGATATAGATTTTCATGTTGATGCTATGAAAACTCTTTCTTTGAAAACTGATAAAAATACTGGTATCATTAGAAAAAAGAAAAAGAAGAAGAAAAAATAGTTTATATTGTTGTTCTATATATATATTTTTTCAAACTGAAATCAATTGGTTTAATATTAAAAACTTTACTTATGGTTTTAAAGTTGGAAGGGGAAAAGAAAAGGGGTTGAGATTAACGTTAGGCTTCTGTTCCTAGACCTGCCTATATTTTTTTAGGTCGCAAATAATCAATTTCAACTCGTCTTTACCTTGGTGTTTTTTATTTGTAATAAGGCTAGAGAATAAATTTTTTTCCTCTCTAAAAGTAATTTCGCAGTCTTTAATTAATATGCAGTATTGGACAAAACATTTGCAACCAACATCGAACAATGCTAAAAAGTGTTCCTAATTTTACATGTCTTAAAATCGAAACTAACTATACTATCACAGCAAACAGCTCAGGAGTCTGGAGTCATGCCATGACATGAGCAATCAGCTGACAGCACATAGGCAGAATTTCGTTGACAAGTGCCGGACAAAACAAGTGCAACTTTTTGGTTTGTTTCATTTTCCTAAGTCTGGTCCGTGTCAACGTCATGGAAGTTTTTTAATAATTAAAGGAAGTATCCAGAAGTTTCCAGAAGAACCATCTGGAAGCATCCAGAAACATTCAGAAGCATCGAAAAGAAGCATCTAGAATCTTCCAGAACAGGTTCATTTTACTATATAAGAGACATGCAAACCGACATGTAATTCAGTCAGTATATGGATGTCAATCAGTCGGTATTATCAAGACAGTTTATCGGAGTTTTATCAAAGTGTTTTATCGAAGAACATCAATACAAGAAGTGAAATACAACAAGTATTTCATTACATCAATACAGTCCACATCCAACCAAGGCGTTGTGTTCCACAAAGCATTATTGTATCATCACAAGGTAAATGTAACACGGTAAGCCTTGAGAAGCGTGATTATTTATAAGTGCAAAAATGGCTCCCGACAGTCTTGGATTGGAACTAAGAAAGAAAAGATTACTTAAGTGGAATGTCACAAAAAAGTATTTGTGATATCGCGTTAAAAAATGGACCGTATCAAGACTATGTTCCAAATATCGTTCTACGGGGAAGTTGGCAGCAGATAAAAAAGATGGATGACCGCGTTCCACCACTTCTAGAGAGGATTCTATGATCGTCAGATCCATCAAGAAGGATCCCTGGATATCTTCAGTCGAGGCCATAAGACCGTGAAGCATGGTGGAGGGAATGTAATGGTCTGGGGGTGTTTTTCTGCTAACGGCCTAATACATCGAATCGATGGAATAATAAACCATTTCATGTATACAAATGTCCTGAAAGATGTTATGTTACCTCATGCTGAATGGAATATGCCAATAAAATGGGTTTTTTAGCAAGACAACGTTCCGAAACACACTGCAAAAGTAGTCAAGCAGTGCTTTCAAGACAACCACCTATCGGTTATGGATTGGCCGCCTCAATCTCCGGATCTCAACCCTATCGAGAACCTGTGGGAGATCGTCAACCGCAGAATTAATCGTGAAGGTGTTCGTAATAAGGATCAACTGTTTGAACAAATCCAAAAGGCCTGAGCAGCGATTCCACAAAGTTTCATTGATCACCTGATCGAATCTATTCCTCGAAGATGCAAGGCTGTAATCGACAACAAAGGATTCGCCACGAAATATTGATAGCGCAATACAGCTTGGTCAACATGTGGAGTTGCACTTGTTTTATCCAGAAGGAAATCAACTTTTTTTAATACTTTTGATTAATTTATTAATTTTCGTGTACAAATAATGAACTTTGTGATGGAAGAACGTTGTCTCTAAACAGTTACATAGTTATTTCTCTAAATTGAAAAAATGCAGCACTTTTATATAAAGAAACTAAATTTGCATTATTTGGTTGCACTTGTTTTGTCCGATACTGTATATTTTGAATTTTATGTTTGACATCTAATTCATAGCATATTAGCGTTATATAGGCTCTTTTCCGGTGCTCTGTAATAAGATCATAAGAACTTCTGGGAGCACCTCAATAACTATATAAAAAAAAAGGAAAACAATTATACCTAATTAAACAATCGGTTATGTATTTTATTAATTTTTTTCTTTCTTTTGTTTACTCTATGCTTTTGGTTTTCATAAATAATTTCATGCAGGGCCTTTTCAAGCTGGCTCGGGGCCCTGGGACAAAATTAAGTTGTGAAGCTCCAAAATCAAAATGTTTTCTATACAATCACATTGTAAATGTGATTGTAAAGACTTTGGTATATAGCAAGTATTTAAGGCAGTCCCTGAATTATTGGTGCCTGGGATAAATTGTTCAGTTTCGGAGCAGCCGTTCTCTTGTATTGTTTTGCTCCACTAACATTTAAATGATATGATGTTAAAGATAGAAAGGGAAAATAAATTTATTTTTATGAAGTTTTATTTCAATAAAATAAGTTATTCCCATATCTCGACTAAATCGACTTTTAGTCTATTTTTAAAATGTATTAGTCAACTTTAGAAAATATATTTATCAACAGTCGAATTATTTAATAGTCGTAACAACAATTAAAAGATATTACTTAAAAAGGTAATTTAGCCATAACGGTTATTTTTGTTAATATATCAAAATTCTGTTTCACAAAACAGCTCTTTTTTAAAATTTATTGAAAATTTCAGTCTAAAACTAAATTCGGCTGGCATATTTAAAACACCTCAAACCATGAAAAGCGCAAGTAAAAAAAATTTTAAAAACCTATAAACATCCTAAATATAATTGCATCGATAAAAACTAGTATTTGTTCCTTGGTTTTCTTTGATAATCAAGAATTTGTGGCAAAAAAATTAGAATGTCTATATCAAGATTTTAGATTTATTAAGTATAAATTTTAATTAGCCATGATGTTTATCGTGTGAGAATCATGATAACCGTAATAGGAACTATGATGAACCACATAAAGGAAAAACTTGTTTATTTAGTGTTTTAATAAAAGCTATTACTGAATTTTCTTTGGATGTTATGAAATGTGAAATGGTGGCATGGCACTTTACAAAAGTTTTTTATTTCTGTGGTTTCCTGTCTCAAAGAATGTCTTAAAAAATTCAAATATAATTGTATCAACTCAAAAGATGTCTTAGCTGCTTTTTATTTTCATAAAAACTTTAATAAAATATTTAGCGAATAATAAGCAGCCGTGGCGCAGTGGTAGCGCACTTGCCTCAGAAACGTAAGATCCTTGGTTTAAACCCCACCTCTAGGCAAGTCTTGCGACATCGGTTGGGAACTTCCTATTAAATGCTCTTCCGCGGTGCTCTGTGATAAGACCATAAGAACTTCTTGGGTCACCTAAAATCAACATTAAAAAAAAAAAAAAACATTGTACAGTTATTACAACAAGTTCTTTGACTCCTAAATTTTGAAGTATTTATAATTAAAAGTTATTTATAAAGTTATATAAAAGAATTTACATAGCAAAATCTTGTATTTAAAATATAACCTGTATATATTATACATTACGACAACTGAGTATTCTCAAAAAATACTTTTATTAGTTAGCAAAAATCATATTTTGAGCTTTAGTGACGATTTTAGTAATGTTATAAGTCATTCAAAAAATTAATAAAAATTTTTTATAAACTACACTCAAAATCCGGTCCTCTCTTCCTCCTCAATAAAAAATAGGGAGACGGAGGAGGACGTAGTTTATATTGGGCTTACACAAAAAATTTCCTGTAAACGCCCCTGATACTCATAGTTTTAAACACAGTCTTTGCATTAGAATCATTAAAAAAACAAACTTATATTTTCAGCATACATAGTTGTAAATATTTTTTTATTATTTTTTAAGTTATTTTAAATTATCGATATATCCTCTGAAATAATTTTGAAAATACTATTAAATTTTTTAGCTACCGTTCCTTTAACTCTTCTTCTATAGAAATACAGTTAAAGGAACGGTAGCCAGAAACGTTATTGCAATTGTCTTTTGTCAATTGTTAATTCAAGTTTATCAGGGAATGTACTATTTTTAAATGATTATACTATTAATAAAAGAAAAAATTACTAATGCTTTCCATACATAAATAACAACATTACTGACAATTAAATAACCCTAAATATCCTAAACTTCTTTAGTATTTTTAAAAATTAGTTTATCGTTTATTGACTTAATATAGCATTTTTAAAAACACTTAAAAGTTGAAATAATAAAAGAATTCCACGTTGTTCATTTTCTTCAGTCTATTTTAAAACATATTATATCGTCATATTATAAGCGGGGAAAAAAATAATTAAAAATTGCATTACTTTAAGCAGATGTAATTACACATCTGATTTTTTTCGGATGTAACTACATCGGGAATATATTTTTTTTAAAAAAACGATATTTTAACCAGATGTAGTTACGCATCTGATTTTTTTCGGATGTAACTACTTCCGGGAAAAAAGTAATTTAAAAATGCATTATTTTAACCAGATGTAATTAAACATCTGATTTTTTTCGGATGTAACTACGTCCGGAAATTTATTTTTTATTTTATTTTTAATAATGCATTATTTTAGGCGGATGTAGTTACACATCGAGAAAAACTCTCGGATGTAGTTACATCTTTCTAAAGATGTTATTATACATCAATGAAATTTCGGATGTTGTTGCACAGATGTCAATTCAGTAAAGAAAAAAGGCGGATGATCATTTAACCAGAAGTTTATATCTCCTTCTTAACCATGACCATGTTGGTCCGTTTTCCGAGCAGACATCAAACCTGAAAACTCTTAGTTTTAATTTCTAGTTAATACCTAATAATAATAAAATATTTTTATATTTTATTACATTCAATCGGAATGACTAAAAATATTAAAAGTAGTATCGTTTAAATGCCTAAACCGTTATTTTACATGAGTTCATTTTTTTTTTTTATTGATTCCATGTTTTGTATAAATATATAAATACAATAAATACTTCAAAAAAAAAGACGCAAATTATCTTATCGGCAAACCCCAAAAATTGATTCCATAAAAGATAAATAATTAGGTAGATCATATATAATTGTTACCAATATACATAAAATAAGTACTTTCATTTTGAAAAGATAAAACAAAAAGTTATAAGGAGATAAATAAAGAAGAAAAAGATAAAAAAACTAATTTTAAAAACTTAATTGATCGATTTTTCAAATATAGTAAACAATATTTATTAAATTTGATTTAAAATAATGAATTCGTAAAAAAAAGTGAAATAACAAAATTGTAGGGAAAAAAAAAAAACATAAAAATAAAAATAAATTTGCACAATAAATACATGGCTGAAAAATTCAATCAC